CCCTCAAAAGCAAGGACCCGACTTTAACCCCCAAAAAAAAAAAAAAAAAAAAAAAAAGTACCGGTGAGCTGAAGGCCCAGTGAGGAGGTCAGTAAGGAAGACCAAGCCATAGCGGTGATGGGCAGGGGCCATCTTTTGTGATACTGAGGGGCTCATGCACATGAAGCAATTGCCCCACCACTGTGCTACATCCCAGCCCTTTTTAAATTTTATTCTGAGATGGGGTCTCACTAAGGTTTTAAGCCTGGCCTCAGAATTTCAATCCTCCTGCCTCAGCCTCCCAAGTAGCTGGGATTGCAGGTGTGCACCCCACTTGGCTAGCACCTGACTTTTATACTGAATGAAGAGAGAAGCAACTGAGTTTTGAGCAGAAGTATGACCTGCTGGGAAAGCAGACTGCAGTCCGAGAAGCTACTGCAGTGACAGAGAAGAGGTGGCAGGGCTTCCCAGGGAGTGGGGCAGGAGGATTTGAACTCAGGATATGTGTGGAAGGCAGGGCACTTTGGCCTCCCTGATGGGCCAGATGAGAGGGAAAAGGAGATCAGGTGCTGTGGAAGCTTTTGGTGGGAACAGCTGGAAGAATGGGTTTGTAACACGGAATGTGGGTCTGCTGGCCAAACAAAGGAAGGACACTTGCAGAGGAGGATCCAGAAAAGGGAAACAAGTGTATCAGAGGAGAAATAGGCAGCGCATAAAACTCAGGCCTAAAGTCTTACCTAGCATGCTCAAGGCCCTAGTTTCAATCACCCCCACCCCCCAAAAAGAGAGGGAGACATTAATCCTGCTTCCAGGACATTCCAGAGTCTGCATCCCCGCCCCACACTGAGGCTGGAATCCAGGGCCCGCGCAGGCTGGGTGAGCACTGATGCTGGGCTACACCAGCTCCGCCGCTTTCCTGACCTGAGTCCGGGACTGTCTTCACTGCGTATCTCGTGAGAATGCCTTTCTGATATTTTCAGTCAAGACTCTGATCCCCCAAATTGGCATTAGGAGAATTCATAGTACAGCCCCAAAGTCTGGAGTGATCTCAGAGGGAGGAGGGCGTAGGCTGGAGAGCCACTGCCAGTCTCTCGAAGCTGGAACTGTGTGCCTCCAAAAGCTGGAGCTTTGGGACAGAGCTGGTCACAAAAGGTGAAGGAATCAGTGTCTCCCTGTTCTCTGAGACATTCAGGAAGTTGTTGGGGGAGGAAGACACACTGCACTTCCTGGTGGCTGCTTTAAACCTTGACAGGAGGGCCAGGGGTGGAGCTCAGGGGTAAAGACCTTGGCTGTCCTGTGTGAGACTTCATTCTCTCCCCAGCACTGCAGGAGAAAAAAAAAGGAATGAACCCTTTCTATCGGAAGTCAGAGTGAAATAAATGAGAACACTGCAGCTGCTCTTGCAGATTTCCTGAACGTATAAATGTACGTATGTGTTTTTGAGACAGGGTCTTGCTATGGTTTTCAGTCCAGCTTTGAACTCTTGGTAAGACTCCTGCCTCAGCCTGCCGAGTACTGAGATTACAGATGTTTATTTTCTGAGAAAAATTTCTATGTTAGAATGTATGGTTTCCTGGGGATGGTTAAGAGAAGCCTGAAAACACAGGGATGCTCCAGTCCCAGGCCCGCTTCACAGCACCTCCAACTATCAGGAGGGTTTGGTGGCCGGGGTGTGTACGGCTGAGAGCCCTCAGCCTCAGCCACCTGAGTCTATAGCAAGCCACTTGGAAACCCCACTCCCGGAAGTTCCCATTAGCAAATTTAGGTGTGCAAAGACCAGGAGTTGAGAGGGCTTCTGCACCAGTTAAGGAATTATTATTAGTGAGTAGTCAGCAGGAAGAAAACTGATTGCCAGCCCCAGGTTTTGTTTGGTTTGGTTTTTTGAGACAGGATCTAACTATGTAGCCCAGGCTGGCCTTAAACTCATGATCCCTTTGCCTCTGACTCCTGAGTAGCTGGGATTACAGGCATGTGCCGCTACACCCAGCTCAGCCCCAATTTTTTGTTTGTTTTGTTTTTTTTGAGACAGGGTCTCTTTACATAGTTGAGACTAACCTGGAACTCACTATGTAGACCAGGCTGGTCTTGAACTCACTTTGATCCTCCTGCCTCAGCTCCCCCCCTCCCCCGAGTGCTGGGATTACAGGCATGCGCCACCACGCCCGGCAGCCCCAATTTTTATTGGATATTTTGTTTATTTATTTTGCCTTTGTCCTGAGCTACATCTCCAGCCCTATAAATGCTGGAATTACAGTTGTGTACCTCATGCTTAGCTTCAGCGGTACTTTTATTTATTTATTTATTTATTGAGACAGGGTCTCATTATGTAGCCGAGACTGACCTAAAACTCATTATGTAGCCCAGGCTGGTCTCGAAATCACAACGATCCTCCTGCCTCAGCCTACTGAGTGCTGGGATTATAGTCAGCGGTACTTTTACAGGAGTCAAGTTTTCTGGTAAATCCCAAGCTCAACAACAGGGTCCAAGATGGCTGTCCCTAAGGCAATCTGTGGTCCTGAATGTTAGTCATTCCATGAACTACCCCTCAAATGCCTACAGAGTGCCAGATGTAGGCCAGGCAGCAAGGATGCAGCTGGGGACAAAAAGATCACTCTTCAGAGAACTGAAATTCTACTGGGTCCAACCCTGATAGGAATGGACATCTACAGTGATACAGGGCAGGGGCTGGGGATTTAGTTCAGTGGTGCTGCTGCCTGCCTCACAGTGTAAGGTCCTGAGTTTGATCTCCGGTACAAAAACAAATAAAAAAAAAAAAAACAATACAGTGATACTAGGCTTTGGGTGCCACTTAGTGTGAGAGCACTTGCCTAGCATGGTTTCCTCCCCAGCACTACAAATAAAATAAAATAAGCTGGGTGTGGTGACACACGCTTGTGATCCCAGCACTCAGGAGGCTGAGGCAAGGGGACTGCAAGTTTGAAGCCAGCGTGGGCTACACAGTGAGACACTGTCTCAACGAACAAACAAAAATATAAAATTAAAACATCCTTCCTCAGAGAATCCCTCATCAAGTTTCTCTCACTGTCGGCCCTGAAGGTCCTGGGGAAGGGAAATTCTTCCAGCAAACAGGACCTGAGGTAGTCACACCGCCTGACTGAAGAGCTCGCTATGGGCCACTGGACTTGTGAACTCTGGATTCTTGGACTCAGATGTGCATCACCCCCTTGAAAGTGTTGGCCAGGTGGACAGTATTTCCCCAGTCTTCTTTACTGAATGGAATTTGGGAGTACTGGGATAATACATTAATAATTGAAAGACTGGGAGTCACAATCTGGAACTCTTTGGGGTTTTTTGTTTTTTGTTTTTTTGTTTTGAGACCCGGTCTCATCATGTAGTTCAGGCTGGCCTTGAACTCACTATGTAGCCCAGGCTGGCCTCAAACTTGAAGCAATTCTCCTGCCTCAGCCTCCCAAGTGCTGTGATTACAGGCATGCGCCACCACGCCTGGCTTGCATCTGGAACTCTTTGGAACCATAGTGGAAAAGGATCAGCAAAAAAAAAAATAACCCGAGGGCTGGGGGTGTGGCTCGGTGGCAGACTGCTTGCCTGGCACGTTCCAGGTCCTGGTCTCGATGCACAGCACCCCCAAAACTACCCGGCAAATGGGGGCTCCACAGCATTCTCTCCATACGGATTTGGTCACGGCACTGAGGAAACAAGCGTGTTTACTAACCTGAGAGAGCAGAGCCACACGAGGAGGAAGAGTCAGGGACCTTGGGAAGCAGTCTGCTTGCCTGTCCGTACCATCGGAAGGGGGTGACCTGAGAGAACCCCGGAAGGCCCCTGGGATCACCAACCCAGCCAGCTGCAATGGGAATCACCACAGTCCTGAGATGCAAGCCATTCCCAGGCTAAGGTCAGTTAACGACAGGCACTGACTTGAGCCCATTACTTGATTCCCATCCATAGGGACTGAAGGAGGCAGCATAGATAAAGCTGCTTTGGAGGGGGGCTTGCCACATGGCTTAGGAAACAGACGACCTGTGCTAAGTGACAACTGCAGCAGACTCGGGGCTAGAGGCCCTGACAGGGCCACTGCATTCCTGACCTTACCACTAAAACAATGCACTTTCCACTGTCCTTCTGAGAACAAACTGTCCTGAGCTAGACTTGTTAACCAAAGTATCCTTTATTAACAAACACTTAAAAAAACAAAAACAAAAACAAAAACCCTCAGGCTGGGGATTTACCTCAGTGGTTCTGCCGCCTGCCTCAGAAAGCACAAGGTCCCAAGTTTGATCCCTGGTACAAAAAAACAAAACAAATCAAAACAAATCTCATTTCTAGGAACTGTGACATGTACCTGTGGGCCTAGCTACTTGGAAGGCTGAGGCAGGACTGCCTGAGCTCAGGAGCTGGAGACCAGCCTGGGCAACATAGCAAACACCTTGTCTCAGTTGGGCATGATAGTGCATGCTATAATCCCAGCACTCTGGGAGGCTGAGGCAGACAGATTACAAGTTCAAGCCTAGCCTGGGAAATTTAGTGAGATTCTGTCTAAAAATAAAAAAAGGCTAGGGGTGTAGTTCATTGCAAAGGCCCTGGGTTCAATCCTCAGCCCCACAGAAAAGAAACAAAACCAAACAGAAGCTCTCCACATCTGGTGTGGTGGTGCATACCTGAAATCCTAGCTCTCCAGAGACTAAGACAGAAGGATGAGGAGTTTAAGGCCAGCCGGGACTACACAGGGAGATCCTGCTCCCCGACCCCCAAGTAGCTGACTGGCTCAGCCAGTGCTGTAAGGTTCTGAGATGTGCAAGGTCACTGTGGGCTGCCCTGGAGAAGGGACCTGGAGGAGGAGGGGAAGGAAGAAAGGCAGTGGGCCTGAGAGCAAAGGCAGTGTGTTTAGGCCCTGTGAGGTCCGGGTTATGCACGGTGGAGGACGGGCTGATGGTACTGCGGAGTTGGGTCAGGCCACACATAGAGATCTGCGTCTGCAAGCACAGCACAGCTCCCCAAAGCGACACTCCGAGCCTGCAGCCAGTGAGAAGACACTGGACACTTTGAGGGAAGGAATAAACACCCTAATTCTGGAAGAATGGGCCAGGGAAGAAAGGGGTGGAGAGGCCACTGAGAGGACAGGTGGGACAGGTGGAGTGGGAGGGAGGGGCTAGGGTGGTGGAGGGGGCAGAAAAGGGTCAGCAGGGAGGAAGCTGGGAGCGCACCTCCTGAAGGAGCAGCCTGGCCTGGCTGCTGAGTGGGGTCCAGGGAGGAGAAGAGCCGTGGAAGGATCTGGAACCTGGCCAGAGAGACAGGACAGGAAGATGAGTCAGGAAAGGAGGTTCCATTGCAGAGACAGAGCCCTGGCTTGGCAGGAACAGGGGTGCCCCTGGAAGCTGGGGAGGAGGCTAGGGAGGAGCCCCTTGGCTCAGCAGGCCGGCCCTGTGGCTCTCGAAACCTCTAGCCCTCTGCTCCTCCTCCACCATGGCAGACTCCGGGTGAACAAGAGGGTGGCCACGAGGGCCGTGCCGGGGCCCAGAGAAAGTGGGTGGGACTTAGTGGGGCCGGGACAAAGGCAGCATCAGCGGCTGCCCAGGCCCCCTGTCTCCACCTCAGAAAAGTTCACCTGTGATCATGTCTGCCCCACTAGAGAGAGCTAGTTACCATGCTGCATGGGAGAATTATATTTTTTGTGGTACTGGGGATCGAACTCGGGATAGGCAGGTGGGAGAACCACTGAGCTAAATCCCCGGCCCACCCTTTTTGTTTTTGTTTTGTTTTGGGTTTTGGTTTTTTAGAGACAGGGTCTCACTATGTAGTTGAGACTGTCTTGGAACTCACTATGTAGCCTAGGCAGGTCTCGAACTCACAGCAATTCCCCTGCCTCAGCCTCCTGAGTGCTGGGATTACAGGTGTGCGCTACCACACCTGGTTTGTTTTTTTTTCTTCCCAGACTAGCCTCAAAATTTTTGATCTTCCTGCCTCAGCCTCCTCAGTAAAGTCTATTGAGCTGGGAAGCACAGGTGCTTAAGTAATAGAAAAAGATTAGAAAGTTCAGGAAACAGAAAATTGTAGAGTGACTCCTAACATACAATTCCTCAGAATCATGTCTTGAGTGGGGCCATGAAACACACTATTTGGAGAAATGTCCCCAGCTGGTGAGCGCAGGGCCCACGGAGGCCGAAATGTCCCCAAGTCCTGCTGGCTGCAGTGCCATCCCGTGCCCTTGATGCCTGTGACACTCAGGCTCTCTCTCGGGGGGAACCCCTTCCAGAGTTTCAGTTCCCCCAGCCTGACTGAGCCCTGCGCGGCCATGCCTTCTGCTCTGTGTCCACCCTCTTCCCGTTCACATCCTCTGTGACCCCAGAGACCCCACCCATCAGTATCACTGCCTCTCCCTCAGGGGAATGCCTCTTGAGGGCGTGGGGCTTGGTCTGGTCTGTGTCCAGTCTGGACAATGAGTAAATGCGGATATTCTTAGGACAACTTGATTTCCCCACCCATTTCTTTCTTCTGTTCTGGGCATGGAACCCAGGCCCTCGAAACATGCTAGGCAAGAACTCTGCCACTGAGCTGCACTGTGATTCAGTTTATGTTTAGGGATCTATTAGTTAACATTGTGGGCTTACGCTTTATCTTTTTCTTTCTTTCTTTTTTTTTTTTTAAGATTATATCCAATGCAGAATGTTTAATGAAGCTGAGTCACAGCTCTTAATTCTCAAAACAATATTATAAACCAGGCGTGGTGGCGCACGCCTGTAATCCCTGCACTTGGGAGGCTGAGACAGGAGGATCCCTGTGAGTTCGAGACCAGCCTGAGCTACATAGTGAGTTCCAGGTCAGTCTCAATTACATAGTGAGACCCTGTCTCAAAAAAAAACAACGAAACAATATTATAACTCACAGTCAAATATGTATTCATTGGCCATATATATTCGTTGGAATATAAGAGCTGCCAATGCCAAAGTCAGGATGACAATCAGTATAGCTGATCCACCATGATCATGTGGTTGTCTCTGGGCTGCTGGCCCTGTATTACATCTGGTGACATCGACGAGCTTCTCTGACACTGCCACTGGGCCCAGCATTGTCGAGGGCTGCAGGTTGGGTAGGTTGTTGAAAGGATGCTCCTGAGGGATTCTGGACTCCATCCAAAGCGCTGGCCATAGCACCCTGACATGTTGTAGGTATGTTATCTGGTAAATCGTTTAGTTAAAAAGAACGGTTTAACTCTGACTCTGCAACGGTCTCTTCAGATGAACTGACTCCTGCCTTAAAACTGATTTGTCTTGCGAGTTCCCTGGCTTCTTGGTCAGCCTGGCTTGAGTCGCTTCCCGATTTTAAAGGCAACAGCACATTCTTCATGGCAGAGCCACAGCCTGCACAGCAGAGATCCTGTGATTTTTTGACAAGCGCTCTTTTCTCGGGTGTATAATCGAGAGAACCTATGGCTCCCTCTCCTTTTGTTGCCATAAACCCACTGACGGCTAGTAACGCTGTCCTTATACTCCGTGAAGGCTGCCCAGTTTCAGGAATGATGTCCTGAGATGCTCGAACAGATTTTCTTGCCCACTTCAAATCGTCCATTAGCTGTTAGGAGAATAACGCTTGGTGGTTTCATGGGATACCCCGGTGGCAGTACTATTGGTCATGGTAAACTCCTCCATCGAAATCAATCTGGGGGTCCTCTCACTGTGAAGTGCCACTCAGAAAGGTTCTCCTCAGGGCCGGGGATTTGGTTCAGTGATTCCACCACCTGCCTCGCAAGTGCACGGTCCCGAGTTTAAACCATACCAAAAAAACAACCAGCCGGGATCTTCAGGTTGTAGTGGTTCTCCGAGGCGGGGCCCTAGACTGGCCCCAGGCCAACTGTGCCTTCTCCAGACCTCAGGCAGGAGGCGTGGTGTCAGTGGTGGGGTGCCACCTCCTCAGGGCTCCCGGCTGCCCTGAGGGCCCAGTGGGCGAGCGCTGTGGAACTGGGCACCCGGGCTGCAGGTCAGTGTCATTCTAAGCTTCATCTTTTTAAAAAGTCTATTTTTGTTTTCTTTTCTTTTTTAAGACAGGGTCTGGTCTGGCTACGCAGTTCAGGCTGGCCTTGAACTCGCCATGTAACCACACATAGGCACACACTACCCTAAGTGTCTTCCCCAGCAGCCCTGCTCAGCCACCCCAGCACCATCCAGCAGCGGAGCTCAGACTCAGGCTGCTCCCTGCTCAGCCAGGCTGCTCCCTGCTCAGCCAGGCTGCTCATGTCTCCCTAGGGGTAGGGTCTGTGGGGGCAGATTTGAGCTGTGAGCCACCCTTGCTTCCTTGCAAATGTCTTGCTGCCTTACCAGGGTGCTCAGGACAGGTTCTACTCCCTCCCTGCACCACTGCCCAGAAGACATCACAGGCTAGCACCTAAGCCTTGCACATACTGTCCCTTTCGCCCAGGACACTCTTTTCCCATCAGACCTTTCATGAATTACAGATTGTTCCTTAGGCTTTGGCTTGGATGTCACTTCCTCCTACAAGCCTATCTGAAGTCCTCAGATCTTGGCCTAGAGGCTTCTGACCACACACTGACTGTGGCGTGTTGCAGTAACCTAGGTCCCATCCACATGAGACATTATTAAGTCTTAGGGCTACACCTTGAGGCTTTAGTATAGAGAGGTGGCCAACAAATATTGTTCAATCAGTGAACCAGGGGGGTAACGATCACCTATGACTTGGCAGTCTTGGCGTAGGGCAGTCAGTGTTCTCTTTAGCTGTCCCCGTTTCTTCACACTGTGAGGAGCTGTGCAGGGGGGTGTCTAAGGGATGACACCTGTGACCCAGGTTGTCTCATCCTGGGCTAGCAGAGCGAGACCTCTCTCAGGGAGGAGCCCCTCATGCTGGCAGCCAGGAGCCACTCTGGATTCATTGGCACAGATGTCACCTCCTTCCTGGCCTGGAGGTCACCTAGAATGCCCCAGAGTCAGGGAGCAGCTATGTCTTCCTGCCCCTTCTGGCTCTAGGCAGCGGGAGACATGGGAAGCCCTTTCCCATTGCCTGCTCTTTCCTTTCTCCAACTCCAACTGTTTATTTGCCAGGAATCTTTTACCAACTCCGAGCTTGATGTACAGACAAGACCAGTACTCACCTGCTTTTAGGAAGAAACTTCTGCTTTTTCTGGAACCCAAGTCAGAGGCCAGGTTACAGCACCACGAGGAAGAGCAGGTTCACGACACTGGGCAGGTGGAGCTGGTTCATCCTTGGTAATTACTCAGCCCTTCTCCTCCCTTACTGCACCTTCAAACAGGCTGTGTTGAATCAAATCTCAAAGAACCTCCCACACCATTAAACCCAAGCAAGCTCCCAGGCCACGAGCCCATGGCTGTTTAACTTGCTTGCTAGTATGACTTTGAAAGCTCAGGCTCAAGTGATTTGGTCAAGGCAGTGTAGGGGCTGAAGGGAGACTCTCCACCCACTCAGAGACCTGGAACCAGGGAAGTGGACGAACAAACGGAAATCAATGCAGTGGAAACACTTTTACAAAACACTTGATTCCTGAGCTCTTTTTGGTGCCTGGGTCTCATGCATTTCTTTCCCCCAGTGCTGGGGGCAGAACCCAGGGCCTGCACACACTAGACAAGCCCTCCACCAAGCCACACCTTGGGCCTGCACAAATTTTAAATTGCAGCTAATGGACATCGCAATGACTGCTAAGTGCTGCCTGCAGGGAAACAGGTTTTATGTATTCAGCAGGGCACAGCTGTGGGAGGGCTGCATGTTGTTTATCACCCTGCCTCTCTCCAGATCGCTACTAGTGAGCTGCGAAATCAGTGCTGCAGGAGCTCAAGATTGGCCCAGGATTTCTTCCAGGGTGCAGAAGAAGCGTGGTTTCAGGGAGAAAGTGACAACTGCTTTGGGTTGGAAAGGTGAGACAAAAACGTCAGGGGAGTTGTAGGAGCAAGGGCAGAGGTAAAGATCCTCTAATCTGGGGCAAGGGATGAGGTAGTAGGGGAGAGTAACGCTGGCAAGTCACTTTGCCTCCAGGTGCAAGGCCAGAGATTTGGGAGCGATGGGGAACTGGCTCTGGACAGACATCAGAGTCAGAGCCAGGTCCAAATCGCAGCTCCTCAGTTACTGCCCATCCCCTTTTAGGCAAGTCACTCACTGTGGTGCTTTCTTCACATAAAGGACATGAGATACTAGGTTTATGATGAGGATTAGATGACTGCTTTTGAACTGGTGTGAACCCCGCTTTACTGCTTGCCAGCTGTGACCTAAGAGTTACCTTCTGAACCTGCTTGTCCATCTATAAAATGGGACTCAGCCTGGGCTGCAGGCCATGTGCTACAGTGCCAGGCATGTGAGAGGTGGCCACTATGTGGACGTTTTCTTCTTCCTCTGGTGGGCAGTGGGAAGCTGGCTCGGAACGCCAGTGAACATGACCTAAGGCCTGTGGGTGGTTAAGACAGGGAGAGGGCAGTAATTTAGGCAGGAGGTAACGTGTGAGCCTGTACATAGGGGAAGAGCTACAGATGGCTCATGGCTCCAGGGAGGAACTGTTGAGCTCGGCAGACCACACACACTGGGTACAACAGCAGGAAGACACTCACCAACCCATCTCCGACATCAGGAGTGTGTTAGGAGAGGGCAGGAGAAGTGTGGCTGTTGACCTGAGTTTAAAGTGGCAGCTGCAAAAGAGGGGATGAAAATATGCCCCAGAAAGGGCGGTGCCTTTTCACACCCATCAAGATGGTGACTATGAGGGGCCAGGATTTAACTCAGTTCAGTGGTGCTGCACCTGCCTGGCAAGTGCAACGTCCTGAGTGTGATCCTCAGTACCAGAAAAAGGGAAAGAAATAGATAAGCTTTTTACATGCAACCGAATATTACTCAGCCTTAAAAAGGAAGGGAATTCTGTCCTAGGCTATGACATGGATGAACAAGGACACTGTGCTAGACACAAAGGACAAATACTATGATTCCACTTACATGGAAGCACACAAAATGGTCCAATTCAGAGGCCATGAAACAGAAAGTGAAACGGGAAAATGAATCAGTTTTAAATGGGTATAATTTCACCCGGGGAGGAGGAAAAAGTTCTGGAGATGGATATGGTGATGGTTGCACAAGATGAGGGTACTAAATGTTTCTGAAATGTAAACTTAGAATGGATAAAATGGAAATTTTGTTGTTCTGGGGATTGAACTCGGGACCTTGTGCTTGGGAGGCCGGTGTGGTGCCACTGAGGTATAGCCCCAGCCCTAAAATGGGAAATTTTATATTTGCATAGTTTACCACCATAGTAAAAGTGGACCGGAGGGCCAGGGATTTAGCTCAGTTGCACCACACCTGCCTCTTAGGTCCAAGGTTGTGAGTTCAATCCCCAGTACCAAAAAAAAAAAAAAAAAAAAAAAAAAAAAAGTGGGCTGGAGGTATAGCTACTGGTAGAGCTATCACTTGTACTAGCCACATACAAAATAAAATAAATACTAGGAGGCAAGGTGAGGAATGAAGTGATCACATTTAAATCGAAACAGGTGGCATGGGAAGGAGACGGGAGGTTCATTATTAATACATTTTTTTTTCTTTTTTTGGTTCTGGGGATCAAACTCAGGACCTTGCACTTGCGAGGCAGGCAGCGGAACCACTGAGCTACATCCCCAGCCCAACTGGCAGCAAATTTTAAAAGGCAGAACAATTTAAAAAGGGTTAGGGCTGGGGATGTAGCTCAGTGGTTCCGCCACCTGCCTCGCAAGTGCAAGGTCCCAAGGTTGATCCATCAGTACAAAAAATAAAATAAAATATATAAAAAGGGTTGAGATTGGGAAGGGCATATTAAGAGCAGAATACAGTAAGTGGCCTGCCTCATAAACAGTGCAGCCTTTGTACTCTCAGGGTGGTCCTGTGAGAGCCATCTCTAGTGCCTGTCAGAATGCAAAGGCTCAGGTCCCTCTCTAGTTCCAGTCTCATCATACAAGATTGCCCGTGACAAGGCACACATTTGAGGTTCTGAGGCACCATTCTGGACAGTGGTTTACAACTCGACTGCACAAAATAATTTACCTGAAAAGCTTTAAAAAAATCTCAATGGCCCTGGTCCACTACCAATGAAAACCACGTATCTCAGGGCAGGGCACTAGGTGTCTGGTTGTTTTTTTTTGGTACCGGGGATTGAACATGGGTCCTTGTGCTTGCAAGGCAGGCCACTGAACCTCTGAGCTAAATCCCGGGCCCCTTTGGGTTGTTTTTTAAAGCCAGGACAACTCTTATCAAGCAGCCCAGATTGACAATTGCAGGTTAGGATGGCAAAGCCAAACATGAGCAAAGTTACTGACTGTACTGCACCGAAGCTGTGGAAGTTGGCACAGGAATAAGGACCAGGTTGTCAGGCAGCAGGCACAGGATGGTGGACCGTGCTAGCCGGCCCAGTGTGGATAGCCACTAAAAGAAGGCCTAATGTGAAATCTGACAGAGAGAAGTCGGAGGGCCTGTGTGGGGAAGGCAGCTGAGAGTGAGGTGTGGAGGCAGGATGGGGAAGGAGGAAACTTGCTCATTTTGCAGCCATTCTTGTGCTGTGCTCCTTCTCCGGGTATGGATCAGAGGGGCCTCCATTACCTTTACTCTGTGTTGACCAGCAGCACGGAGGTAAATGGCCTCACCCATCCAAGTGCTATCCATCAGCTTTCAATGAGATACTCAGCTCGGGGCTAAGGACTGAGCACAAACGCCAGACCATTCCCCAGGTTCTCAAACTATAGGGGGTCATTGGAACCACCAAAGGGCTTGTTACAACAGGTTCCTGGGCCTTATGTGTCTGAGGAACAGGTAGGAGGAGGGTGCCATAAGGCGCCTGGGGTGGGTAAGGCAGTGTTTTCTATGTAGTTTAGGCAGGCCTTGAACTATGTAGCCCCAGGTTGGCTTCAAACTTCCAATCTTCCTGCCTCAGCCTCCAGAATACTGGGATTACAGGTGTGTGCCACCTTGCCCACCTCAAGAATATGCATTTCTAAGAAGTTCCCAAGTGACGTTAATGCTGCAGGTCCAGGACTGCATTTTGACAATCACAATAGGTCATATGATCCAAGTGTTAACTAAGGGAGCTGCAGTCACAGGGACCTGTGTATCACTTGTACCACCATCAGTTCTCTGGTTCTGCAGATCTATGGCAAGATTCCAGGAGATGTTCCTTTGGTACTATACTGGATCTCATAATTACTGCTAGCTGAAATTCTGAACTGTCAGCAGCGTTTTAGGTTAAGTTAAAAACAATGGTAAGTACAAATGCTGCTGGAAGAAGCTGTGGAACAGCAGTCCCTAGGTGGACACTTCCTCTCTGGCTTATACAGTAAGCTCTGTCCAATTAAACTGATTAGAGGGAACAAAAAAATCATCCCTTAAGAGAATACTTTAAGCAGCGTACTCTTTCTAGCACTTTACTGTATCCACATTTTCTGCAGCTTGCATTTTTTCCCTCTCCATTATGAACTCTGAACAGAGGAAGCTGCTTTTGTATTCTTGTTAGCCAGGCAAAACGCCAGACATGCGGTGGGTATTTAGCAAGTACAGTCCATCCTTTGTACCCATGGTTTCTGCATCTATAGATTTAGCTGTCAACCAAAAATATTTGGAAAAAAAACAAGTTCCATTTGCACTGCGCATATACAGACATTTTTCTCCTACTAAATTTCTCTTATTAGTTTTTTTTTTGGCGGGGGGTACCGAGGATTGAACTCAGGACCTTGTGTTTGCAAGGCAGGTGCTGTGCCACTGAGCTAAATCCCTGGCCCTCTTATTAGTTTCTAACCAGCAGTTTAACTACTATAGCATTTACATTGTGTTAGGTATTATAAGTACTCTCGAGATTAAAGTACACAGGATGAGAATAGGTTATATGCAAATACTATGCCATTATATAAGCGACTTGAGCACCTGTGGATTGGGGGCACCTGGGACCAATCTCTAAGATACTGAGGGACAACTGTACTCACTGAAAGCTTGATTGAGAGTTAGTCAGTCTTCATCTTAGTTCCTGGTGCATTCTCAGGCCAGGCTTCACTTGAATCTTGTCTTTGCCTTCCCCCTGAAAACTCAAATTCCTTCTCAAAGCAAACTTCTGGACACAATCCAAGGAACTGGCTCCATTTCTTTCAAAAGATTTTGTCCAGCTTTAACAGGCCTGAATAGGGCAACTCATCCTGTTCATTTGCTGTCCCGAATGAGGTTCAAGTTCAGGATTCTAGGAGCAAGCTGTGGTTTTCCAAACCTGATGTGGCTTCCAGGGCACCTGCATTGCTATGCAAGTCATGGATGCAGAAGGGGGTGGGGTCCAGCACACAACAGCCAAATCTGGGCACTTTCCAGCTGCCTTCTTGGCCAGCCATTCAGTCTATTTTGCATTAAAGGTTTTGTAAAAACTGCTTAAGAAAACTAAAGAGTGAGCCTTGGTAGCAGAAAGGGGACTAAAACAAAAACATAAAATGTCCTTCTGGAAGGCCAAGAGGTAGGGAAAACAGATCTGCAGGGCCAAGCACCAGTGTGCGGTAGGGCGCTGGTTGCAAGAACTTCAGAGGCCGTTCATGGTGTGGACACTCAGAGCTCTATCTCTATGGCCAAGCTGGCAGAGAATCTGGCCGCCCAGGAGGAAGGAGTTGGTGGCCTTCTGCCAAGGGTACCTCTTGCATAACAACTCCATGCCACAGGCCATTTAACTCTACATGATTCCAGGGGGGAAGGGTGGCCTCCAAACTCTCCTGGATTATCTTCTCAACTCAGTAGTACTCACAGAATGTAGGGATTAAGGCAAAATTGCAAGAAGAGGGGCTACTTATTTATAGAATTAGTGTTCTCCTAATAAGAATTTGCTTAGAGATAGACACTAATCTTTAAGAAGCACCTTTGAATGTGTTGAAAGTGGAAAGGTGACTAGAATTTGGGGACATGTCCATAGTGGCATCAGCTTCTGCTCTTCCCTAAATCATACCATGACCGTGTTTCCTGTTTCAGCTTTGCTTATACTTTCTGGTACTGGGGATCAAACTCTGGACCTTGCACTTGTGAGGCAGGCGGCAGTTTTATGAAGGAAGCTCTTGGTCTAGGATGTTTGTGTTAAGATACGTTACCCACAGGGCCAATAGGTTTTAATGTCAAAAAATAACAACTGGGGTTTCCTAATTTTTCAAGTTGATTTTTAAGAAATTATATTATTTGTAACTACTAACCTAGGAAATGATGTATCTTATAGAAAAGTAGCTTTTTTGGGAGAGTAACTGATCTGGGAAGTTTTAAAATAGCAGTTGGATGGAAGTCAATGAAGTAGGGATAATGACACCAATCAAATGGACACCAAAAGATCTGTCATTGCCTTAGAAAGTGATAAAACCAAACAGCGCGAAAATTGTTTAGTTGTTTAGAAGGCTCTTTGAGGATAAAACAGGCTGAGATTTGGGGTCTTAAGACTACCACTAACGAAAGGTGTCTATTTTCCATCTTCCACGCCTTACCTACTTTGTAACAAAAAGCCTCCCAGGAATTAGAAATGTATTAAAAAACTAGGCATATAAAAGCACGTACTTAATTTATAGCTCTACTTCAGGCCACTTGTGATTTAGATGTTCCAGGCAGCTGCCTGGGGCTGCCATTATCAGCTGCATCCTGCTTGCCCTGCCACCCTGATCCTGGATCAAAATCACTACAGCAATGTAGAACACATTCACAAGAGGCCCCTTCTCTGGTGATGCATGACTCAGGTAGTAGTAGGATGTACGAGGTGGGTATTGATGGGAAATGCTGTTAAGAATTATTTTGTTCTTCATGTGTTTTAGCATTGCCTGCTCATTACTGTTTTAATCTCTTGGGTGATTTTGTACTGTTATTGCCTGTAGTGGGTCGACTGTCACCCAGATTTTTCTTTTTCTGGTGGAACTAAGGATTGAACCCAGAACCTGTGCACTGAGCTACATCCCTAGCCTTTTATTATTTAGAGTTGTGCAGAAGAGACTTGAATTTGTGATCCACCTGCCTTACCCTCTTAGACTGCTGGAATTACAGGTATGCGTCACCACGTCCTCTCCCCAGACCCTTGTCCTGGATGTGTCAGAGCTGCTACGGAGAGGGCACTTCTAGATGATGCGTTATGGCCTATTTCAAACATTTATCCCATGGAGTCTGAGTTGCCTTGCCCTGATGATAAAAGGGACACAGAGACACACACCAGTCTTTCTACTTGAAGAATGTACTTTATACAAAATAACCAGTTCATATGGAAATAAATCTACAGACCTCCAAGGCTCAAAAAGCTTTTTAAAAAGTTCTTTTAACAAATTATCCAATACACAATATTGAACTAACTATTGAGGTAAGTGTCGCTCTCAGTGAAACAGGGAATCAGCAGACCACGACAAAATATACATAATATAAAAATAAATAGCATTGTCCTTTCCAGTACTGGCCAGGAAGGTTCACAGGGCTCTGGCTCTCAGAGCAGGAGCTGACTGCCCAATGCTGAGTGCTGCAGCAAGGCAGGCGAGAGGTACCTGGCCCCTGCTGGGGGAAAGGAGGGGCCACACTGTCTATCCATGGGCATCAGCATTTTAATAACTTAATATCTGCACCTCTGTTCCCACCCACCCAACTCTTTCAAAAACACATGTAGGACAATCAGCTGGTTATCAGGTCAGAATGAGAACGAGAGACTGGGTAAAAAGTTCAGTTCCAGCAGGAGACAGTCCCTCCTCTACCCTCATGCGCATCTAGCACAGAGAAGGATCAGTACCCAGGCACAGAGAAAAGCTTGTGTCAACAGATTATCTGAGCTGGGAAGCAGTGAAGCTCACCCCAACTCTGCTTCCCAGAGGGGAAAAGAGTAAGGCGCTGGGGCTTAAGGCTGCATAGTAGAGCCCACACCTTATCCAGTAAGACAGCCATTCGCAGTTCTGGCAGCAAGTAACTGTCTCTACACGCTCAACCCACGCGGCAGCTGTCCAAAGAACCATCTACTGGGACAGGACATCCCAGACACCCTCACTGCATGACTCAATGAAATATGGAATGGATTTCCCTGATGGGGGCCCATGAAGAATCTGGTCTGGGGGGTGAAATGACCAAGACAAACACAAAAGGGGGAATGATGCTAGAAACCCCCTTGTCTTTATTGGGAAATCAAGGTTCTCACAAATGTTATCAGGATCCTGATGCTATAGAACTGTTTTTGCCTAGACTATTGATTAAACTTTCCTGGGTTATTTCAAATTAGCTTTTAAGAACTGTATAGTATTTATAAATTTGAACTTCCATTAAAAAAGGGAGGGAGGGGCTGGGGAGATACCTCAGTGGCACCACACCTGCCTGGCAAATCTTGAGTTCAATTCCTGGTATTAAAAAAAGGGAGGGAGGAAAGAAGGGGGAAAAAATGTCCAACCACATGGAATGAACTGAAAGAATGAATTAATTATAAGGTTGTTTGTGGCAACATTGATTTTGTTTTGTTATCTGAGACAGGGTTTGTTACATAGCCCAGGCTGGCCTCAAACTGACAGCTACCTTCCTGCATCAGCCTCTCAAGTGCTGGGATTAGTATGCCCAGCTATGCCAGCAATACTGGTTTGTATGTGATGGCAGTCAGCATATCCTGTGACGACAGCAGGAATCAGCCAAACAATAATAATTCTATGACAGATAAATGTGGAATAATGCCACCAAATGGTCCTGAGAAGCACTTTTAAGGGGAAGATTAGAGTAAAATGACATTTAAAGCTAAACTTTACCAGGTGTGGTGGTACACTCAGGAGGCTGAGGCCAAGAATCCCGGAGTTCAAGGCCAACCTCAACTACATAGCAACACCCTGTCTCAAACAAAAGAAACAAAACAACAGCTAAGCTTTGATGGAACTGAGTGACACCACAGGAGCTAAGGTCTTCTGAGCACTGTCAGGACTCAGTCTGAGAGCTGTTGGAGCTGAGTGGGAACGTTAAGTACTCCTAATGAGTGCACAGACACCACCAGAAGAGCTAACCTAACCTGACCCAGGACACAAGTAAAAGCTTCAATTTCATCAATGTTACTTTTAAGAGGTGGAAATGCAAGTTTTATGAACAAAAAGCACCCCCCACACCAATGGGGATTGAACCCAGGGCCTTTGCACTGGATTACATCTGATTGTTATTTTTGGTACCAGGGACCAAACTCAGTTTGCGAGGCGGCAGGTGCAGTATCACTGAGCTAAATCCCTGGCCCTCTGATCTTTTCAGACAGGGTATTGCCAAGACACCCAGGTTGGGCTCGTATGATCCCCTTGCCGCAAACCCCCCAAATGCTGGGATTATAGACATGTGCCACCACACTTAGCTGAATCCTGCATGTTTTGTCCTCAGCCTTCACATTTGTCTATCAAAAAATTTTAGACAATAACTTGTTAATTTATTATTTTTGGTGGTATTGGGCACTGAACCCTTGGCCTTGCATGTACTACCCTAAAGCTCTACTACTGAGCTATGTCCCCAGCTTTTTTTTTTTTTTTTTTTTTTCTGGAAGAACTCAGGACATTGTGCTTATGAGGCAGGCACAGCACCACTGAGCTAAATCCTTGGCCCTTTGCCTTTAATGGACAGATTTCAGAAGGGAAATAAAACCAGGAATCTTCCAAAAGGCTCTACTTTTTTTTTTTCTGGATCTTTTATTTCTTGTAAGCCTTGAAAAAAATTTCTAATTAACAAATCTAATAAAATTAAAGTCAACGCAGAGTGGGGATATTTTCAATTATACATGGATCTCAGCATGCCCCGCTGGGGACCACTGAAAGCCAACACACTTGACAAAGTGACACTGATCTACAGATCATATGTCTGTCTAGCCTGAGAGCAAACCTTGTGAGGAGACCCTTACACACTATTTTCTAATTATTACACATCACATAACATTTCCCTATGGAGAGGATGGCAAATGCATTTGCATCTGCTTTAAGACATTGCATGTGCTTAAGACACTTGGAAAGAGAAGTGCTAGAGGAGGAAGAAAGGTAAGAACAAAAGATCCTGCTTAGGGGTAGGTGGATGAGGGGGTTCACAGCAGCTCAGGTCCTCTGTTTCTGTGGTCTGGGAGCTCCAGGCAGCTCTTTGCAGAGCTGCACTTCAAAGACCAATAGAAGTTGGGTCTATACCAGACAGAGATGAAGCACTAAGGCCCTGTAATGGATGATCAAATTTCCATCCATAATGCAAAAGCCTGACCATTTTGCTATTGCTTTTGTTCACAGTGTTATAACATAGTAGTTCAGCTTTCTATTGCTTTTTTCTTCCTTAATATTTCCTCATAAGTCTAAACCAAGAAGGGAGGTTAGGGATAAAGGATTTATTGGACCCCCCCACCGCATTGTTCATAGCATTAGTGTAGCTACAGGTAATGTAATGGGGGGCCATCTGGGAGAAAGAAGTGAATCTCAGCAGTGAGCACATGGCAACCCCTAAAGGCTTAGCAACATGGAAGGAAGAGATCCTGCAGTTACTATGTCCCTAATGAGAAGTCAAGGCCTTTCATTTGTTGGTGGCAGAATGCTCCTTGCTCTGAACCCAAACAAGGTCTAACCAGCCCATACCAGGTGTGTGTTCTCCTTGTTTTCTGCACCAACACAGAAAATGAAGTGGTCATGCTCTGACCAAGTCAGGTTATGAGTCTAAGGACAAAGGAGATCCACCCACAAATCTTCTGAACTCTGTTTTTTCTCTTCTAAAGCAGCCTGTGCCAGTGGTAGTCTGATAAGATTTAGAATCAAATGAAATCCAGCCCGATAGCTCAATCCTCTTGGAAACACACCAAATTTAAACTGAAAGTCTGTTAGAGAAAAATTCGTATTTTTGTGCGCCATACACTGAAGGCACCTATTTTTTAAAAATCTCTGCTCAACTTGGCAGTGCTTAAACTCTAAGAAACAGCCTCAGGACAATAAGCATTCACTAACTGGCATGAATTTCCTTTATATTGGAGTGGGAATCTTGGGTTCCATCTAAATAACCTGGATATTTCTATCTCCATTCCCTCTGATCATACAGGTTTAGCAGACTGTCAACGAGCGGATAAGAGAAATGGAAGGAAAGGGTGCCACTGAACTCTCTTACAGTTAAATTTAAAAAACCTAAGACAGATTAATATTTTATGAAGAATTTTCTAGTATCACAAAAGCATGTTTTAAAATATGCTATTCTTTACAAAGACCTGCAACTGTAGGATGTTCTTAGCTTTTTCTTTTTTTGTGGCATATTCAAAGGTTTAAATGTGTGTCCTAACTTTGGTGACATCAGATAAAACAAAAGAGAATGGTAAAGAGGGAATCCAGTGTAATTCATTTCTAAAACTGTAATAAAGTAATACTGTAAAATGTTTCCTATGACTGATACAACAAATGATTTCCAAGAACCTGACCTTGACAGCTATTTTAAATCACCATGACTGATTTTACTATGATTCACTTAAACTGAGTAACTAGATACTGAAACATTCCTAAATTCAAACTGTGAATCTATAGAATACATTTTCCCTATTCAAACCTGTGCAATTTCTTTATTGAGACTAACATATACAAACCTGAGTAGTCACTTTCACAAAATGTGATTTGTGCCAGAAAGTTGTGTGTGATGCCTTCTAGATCACAGTCCTAACAGACCTGTGAGGAGGATGATTTTTATCTTCCAATGAGTAAAACACTCAAATGATCCCAATTCCTGATACTAGTTTGCAGATATCTGGTGAGGCTGGTGGCAAAATCAGGAAGGCACACTGCTTTCCCAAGCCCAGGACTTGGGTCACCATAGTGAGAGCAGCCTGTCTTCTGGGGTGAAGCTCCAGTGGACCTCAAACTGATGGACAGGGAGGGTGACAAGTCAGTTATTCTTTGAGGCCACCTGGAAGGAAGTCCTTATGCCGTGAAAGGCTGGCCAGCCACTTAGCAAACAGAGTTAGTGGCACATGACAAGATGAGACTTTGCCTCCCCTCTTCTACAGCTCCCCAAGCGTTCATTGTGACATGATTGTAAACAGACAGAGACCACTCCAGTGCTGTGTGCCCACTACAGTTGGGACTCCCATTTCTTCCACATGCCCACCCACCCTCCCCATTTTATGTACAATACATTCACCACCAACAAAAATTATTTTAAAAGGCAACATGAAAATTCTGTAAACTGGACCCAGCTCCAAAAACATTAATACTACAAGTAGTCCCTTCCCCAAAGATATACCTGAGATTAGCTGCTCATGAAAGGTTAAAAGCACCACTCCACTCCTACTAGGCTCCCTCCCAAGTACAAAGTGATTTCCCTGAACAAGTCCCTGGATTTGGAGAAGTCAGCATGGACTACAGGCCCACTTGTTCTTCCCAAACTTGTCAGCCATGCAGGCGGCCCGCTGGCCCGGGACAGCTCCAAGTCTGTCATCTGTGGAGTGTGCTTCAAAGGCCGGGTAGTGGCAACAGCTCCCGGTGGCATGGAGTGATTCATGTGAAGTGGTGGAGCCGGGTGATAGGAATGGAGTTGAGCAAGGTCACCCCAATCCTCCACGTGCTGTCTTCTTCATATGCAGCTTTCCATTCCCTTGGGGGCTATTATTTCCTCCTTGAACTAGCTCTGAGGAAAACAAAAGATGTTTTGTAATAAAAAATTAAAAATTGTGTCAAAGGGATCTGGAGATGCAGCTCAGTTATGAGAGCTTGCCCTAGCATGTATGAAGCCTTAGGTGCTATCTGCAGTACAAAAATTAAGTAAGTCAAAGAGCTGCACAAGTGCACCTACACAGCCACAGTTTATTCCCAAAGGGTAGATCTGTGGGACCTGCATCCCAGAGTCAGCCCCTAGCCTAGTGATGGCGAACCTTTTAGAGATGAGTGCCCAAAGTGCAACCCAAACACAAACCACAAAGTGTTAACACTGCAATTAAACTTGAATACTGAGGTTTTAGTTTAGAAAAAACTCATACACTTACATCTTTTGTCTTAGAAGATAAACAGGGGCCCAGGGATTTAGCTCAGTGGTGCTGCCACCTGTCTCGTAAGCACAAGGTCCCAAGTTTGATCCCCGGTACCAGGGTGGGAAAAAAAAAAAAAGAAAGAAAAACAACACACGTATCACAGGCTTGCGAACAATGCACCAAACACTTAGCAGGTATAGGACTTTTTGCTTATTAGGAAATGTTGCTACTGCTCATGGTGCTTCATGGGTTCAGGGGAAGGAATGAGTCACTGCATCCAGCTGCTCTCAGCACAGTACCTGGCAGAGAAGCAGCTCTCGAAGGTAGCTATTATGATTCCAAACCTGACTGACTTGTCCCTCACATGAATAGGTGAGGATAAAAAAAACCAGGACCGTGGCAAAAGAAAGGTGGGGCGGCAGTTTGGAAAAAATGAGACTTAAATAAATACCCCTGGTTACATGCCAAAAATAGGAAAAAGGGCCCTGTGGAAAACACTAGAGAAGCTCCAGCTGAGCCTCTGCAGTGGGCACTCCCAGTGTGGAGGTCGAACACAGGGGCTCAAAGACTGGTTTCATCTGTGTGCCTGCAGTATACAAAGCACTTTCATATACTGTATTAACAAAACACCTTAAAACATCCTTTCAGGAGTTACGGGTAAAGCTCAGGGGTAGAGCGCCTCACTGGCATGCACAATCCTAGGTTCAATCCTCAGGACTGCAATAAGAAGCAAACAAGCAAGCTGATGATCTCAGTACAGCAAGGTTGTCCCAGGCGAGTTTGGAGTCCTAATCTGAACTGCTCCAAGCAAGGTTCAAAACTTATTTGTTACTGTTGTTGGTACAACACTCAAAAAGGCTCACCTTTTTTTTTGGGGGAGTGTAACAGGGATTGAACTTGGGTCCTTGTGCTTGCAAGGCAGGTGACAGAACCACTGAGCTAAATCCTGGGCCCAAAAATGCTCACATTTTGAAGTGTTTCAGATTTCCAGATTAGGCATGCAGATTACGCAAGTCTATCCAGAGTATTCCGAAATCTGAAACACTTGGGGGGGGTCCCCCAAGCTTCAGAGAATACTGTATTTACATCTTACAACTGGAGGAATAAGAAAACCTCTAGTTTTTGGTAATTCTTACCTGATCCAGAGGAAGTGTTGGGGGTTTATGTGGTGGTAGCTGTTCTGGTGATGCTGCTGGTGCTGGGGTCTTTGGGAACGAGGGCAAAGACTGGATCGGATGCATGTGCATCCTACAGCCATAAGAAAGGAATAGTTAACAATCAATGAAGACACATTAGTTACAAAGAAAAACATTTTAATCATGAAGAATCTGCCTTTATCCAGGTGATCCAACCTGGAATCAAAAGTACTGGGACAATATGTGTTTCCTGGTGTGATGGAATAGGAAGCACCAAAGCATGAGGAAATGAGGCAAATCTGGAATCTAGGGCACTCTGCATGAGAACTGGCCTACTCTCTGGAAAAAAAAAAAGCAAGATAGGGCAACTGCTATAAATTAAGAGGCTAAACAGAAATAACCAAAAACAAATTCATGAGTTCTATATTAGAAACAAATTGAAGGAGAAAACCACAGTTCTGAGATTTTTTTGGGGGTACTGGGGATCAAACTCAGGTCGTCCTTGAGCTTTCGAGGCAAGCGGTGGAACCACTGAGAGAAACCCCGACCCCCTAAGAGATGTTTTTTAGGAACAAATAGGGAAATTTATATGAGGAATATATATTAGAGACTGTCATGTTAGCCTGACTGTGCTGAGTTTTGAGATTCCTTGTTACAAGATGCATGCTGGGGCATTTAGGGATTAAGACTGTGATAACTGCAATTTAATTTCAAGTGGTTTAGGGGGGAAAAGGTAATGAAATATACACATAAATTCAGAGACATATAAAGCAATATGGCAAAATAGATGAGGAAGACAGCCTAGTGGTAAGAAGATGGAATGGCAGTGGGGAGGGGAATATAGGATTTAAAATTGAAGGGTATTAGGTTTGATTTATAGGCATGATACTGCAGCAGGCTGAACATTTTGTACACAATAATTTGAAGTCTTTCTGGATGGCATATCATTTCATTGTGCCCCCGCCTTTTTTGCAGAGGAGGAGTGCTGGGGAAATAAAAACCCTGTGCATGTTGGGCAAGCATTGCAGGATCCAGCCCTCCATCCCCTATTTTGAGACAGGGTCTCACTATGCAGTTGAGACTGACCTGGAACTTACTATGTAGCACAGGTTGGTCTCAAACTTGCAATGATCCTCCTGCCTCAGCCTCCCAAGTGCTGGGATTACAGGTATGCGCCACCGCGCCCGGCTCCCTAATTCTCTCTCTTTTTTTTGGTACCAGGGATCGAACTCTGGTCCCTGTGCTTGCGAGGAGGCAGGCAGCGGCACCACTGAGATAAATTCCTGGCCCAGTTCCCTAATTCTTAAAAACATCACTACAAACATATACAGGGTTGAAGTATTTTACTTCATTTCTGGACAGATCTAATTTTTTTCACTCAATGATCAGGAACAAAAAGAGATGAAGAGTGAACTTTAGTATTACATTCTCTACTCTCTAGTTAGACCAATTTTACTTTGGCCAGTGTCAGTGTAACTCAGTAGAAACTTCAATAGCCTCTGCCTATAGCAGCCAAATTGTGGCTATCAAGTTTCCAATGTCAAAATCCAGTACTATAAAACCCAAATCAGGCTGGGGGGGATAGCTCAGTATGTGAAACCCCATCTGATATCCAGCACCACAGGAAAAAACAAACACTAAAATGACATTTGTTCTCACCAGGGGAATGTCGAAGATAAAATTGGGCTCTAAGTCTAACACATTTCTACACAAGGCTCCATCATCAATTCACATGCTTTTTGTGGCCCTCGAGTGTTAGAGTTTACCTTCATTCCTAAGGCTATTTTATTTTTAAAATTAACAAGTTAGCCAGGGGTGGTGGTGTGAGCCTATAATCCCAAAACTCAAGAAGCTGAGGCAAGAGGATCACCAGTTTGAGGATAGCCTGAGCTACGTACTTCTGGTATATTCATTTTTTCAGACAAGACAAAATCAACTGAAGGTAATCTTACCCTGATGGTCTGTACATTTCCTGGAAAGGCCCCCTTATTCCGCTTCCAGTGCCAATCTGCTCCATCATTACAGCTTGAAAGTGCCCAAGGCCCTCTTCCTGGCAGCGATAGAGGGGCCCCTCCTGAGAAAGGCCATTGGCTTGGGTGGCCACTGGGCAGTGAGGTGGGTGGGCAGGCACTGGGGAGGAGTATGCCCGGGGCTGAAAATGACTGGCAGGTCGCTGAGGTGTATAAGGAGGCCCCGTTTGTAGCATTACACCATGGGGAGGGAAAGCCGGCGAACCAAAACTCATCCCTGAACTCAGAGGCGGTGGAGGCGTTCCATAAAGATATTCGCTGGCTGACAATGAACTCTGTCGCTTTGTAGCTGCATTATGGTTGTCCAGGTCTAAAAATTCTTTGGGACTCTCCGGCCTCTCCACAGATTCGTCCAGCTTTTCTCCCTCTGGACCGGGATTCTGCCCATCTGTTGGGACTACTTTAGCAGCCACTTCATGCGTTCGAGGTGGGGAGGTTAAGCAGGTGCTCAGAGTCTCACAGCCTTGCAGATCCGCCACGGCATTCCTATCTGAGAAGAGGGACCGCTGGGGAGGAGGGTGACCTGCTGGGGACCCACCTGCACTTCCCTGGGGATGGAGAGGTCGCTGCCAGTCAGCAAAGCCCTGTGGACATGTGTAGTAAGGAGTTCGCTGGTAGTGAGGATAAGAAGGCTGAGGGGGTGGTTGGTAGGAGTACCTCATTCCTTGGGGAGGCCGGTACCGGGGAAAGACTCCAGGATGCGGACTGGTAGACTGAAAGCTCCTAGGGGGGAAATGCTGAGGATGTGACATGGCTGACTTTCCTCCCATCACAGGGCCCAACCCTTGCAGGCCTGGACTGATGTGGTAATGTGCAGCTGAATTAGAGTACTCCAGGCCAGGCATGTACAAGGGGGAAAATTGGCTTACAGTGCCTGCCATCAAGCTGGGGTCTGCACACGGGGGTGTAGCTGCATTCTGTCCTGTACACGGAATGGTCTCCTGCAGTATGTTGCCTCTGGGGCAGGGTGGCTTTTCTGAGCCACTGCCACCAAGGCCCTTCCCCTCTGACCCACAGGGGGATGCTTCACCAATGACTCCATTTTCAGGGAGAGCCTCTCTGCCTGCTGTCGTGGAGAGGTCCCTCATACAGCCTTGGGAAGCTGGGCTGGGGCAGCTGCTGCCTGAGGGCCAAGTGGTCTTGCCCTGTGATGTTTTACAGTGGTCTGAAGATTCTGAGGCATTGCTTTTGAGTTCTGGGCCCTCTGTTTCTCTTTCTTCTGGGGAGCTCTGTCTGGGGCAGTCAGACTGCAGGGGAGCCGTGGGGTGAGGTAGTTGTTTGAGGTATACCCCCTCTAAAGCACCAATGCTGGGTAGTTTCTCTTCAAGCCCAGGCAAGGGCTCTGCTGGGGAGGAAAAAACAAAACAAAACAAATTTAGTAGCTAATGGCAATATTAACAGATATGGTAATAGAAAGAATGTAATAAGCAGTGAAATGAAGAGAGCCATGGCTGAAGTAACATAGTGACTTAAGTGTCAGCTAGATATTATTAGAGTCCCTGGGAGGAGTCATGATGCTGAAGCCCTACACACGTCCCTTTTTCAGACTTACAGGTAGAACCTAGCATTTCTATGGGTGCTCATTAAAACCTGGCAAAGAACAGAAAAACCCTGGGCTCATGCCTATGCAGTCAATCAGATTAGTAAGAGGCCAAGACGTAATGCACAGCTCATGGATGTCAGGTACATACATGTGAAATGTGACAGGACTGGGCAGATAAGGCACTCAGGAAGGCCAGACGCCTGACTTCTGCCCTTGAAAACAGGAACTCCATGGAGTCAGGGAGTGTTTCTTTTCTTTTCTTTCTTTTTTTTTTTTTTGTACCGAGGATAGAACTAGGGTCCTTGTGCTTGAGAGACAGGTGCTGGAACCACTGAGATAAATCCCCAGCCCTAGGGAGTGTCTTCTTAAAGTATTCTTAGTACTTGCCAGAATATACACTCAGTCAAGATTTGCTGAAATGAATAAACCCTCAAAAAATCTTTTGTACAAAAAAGTGTTGGAGGGCCGGGGATTTAGCTCAGTGGTGCTGCTGCCTGCCTTGAAAGCACAAGGTCCTGAGTTTGATCCCTGGTACAAAAAAAAAAAAAAAAAAAAGTGCTGGAGATGGAACCCAGGGCCTTGTGCATGCTAAGTATATGTTCTACCACTAAGCTACATCCCTAGCCCTTGTTTCAAAAGCTTGAGACATGATGTCTATAGCAAAAAACAAAATAAAAAACCCAAAAACCCTCCAAAGCCTTGTTTAATATTACAGAAATTTAATAAACACAATCAAATGAATTTACTAGTCTCAAACCTTTGAATGCCTTAGATCATTACTATGGTATTGACTCATTAATATACATGGTCTTAAATATGATATACAGATATGACCTGTTTAAAGACAAAGTTCTTCAAGTGTGATTAAAATTTTATGCTGGTGCTGGGCATGGTGGCACACACCTGTAATCCCAGCACTCGGGAGGCTGAGGCAGGAGGATCGCTGTGAGTTCGAGAACAGCCTAGGCTACATAGAGAGTTCCAGGTCAGTCTCAACTACATAGTGAGACTCTGTCTCAAAAACCAAAATAAAACAAAAAAATTTTTATGCTGGTAATAGAACTTGAGGACATAATTAGGATTCATAATGACTTTTAAAGAACTAAGATCAAGTGCAAGATCCTGAGTTTGATTCCCAGGACCAGAAAAAAAAAAGAAAAGAACTAAGATCTCTTAGGCTATATGTACATTACAGCTGGCCTTAATGATCAAAGGTGTAAGTGGTACAATAAAAAAAGATACTTTTTCATTATTCAGTCAACACAAAACTTGGTAACCAGCAAACAGACTTTAGGTGTCATGAATGATATGGTGCTAAATTGCTAAACTGCAGGTGCCAACTGAAATCATTATTAGAAAACTCAGTGAGTACCAAAGCTTTGCAAAAAGGAAACACTAAAAGTTAAGCCAATTTTACATGGGATCTCTATCACCTTTTGAGAGTGTCCAAATGTATATTTTCCAGCCACCTACTGAAGAAAATTACACACAATATACATACCAGACATCTACCCTAGGAGTAACCATTACACTATTATCTTTACATATTTTTCTCAGTTTAATCTTTACTCTCCTTAAATGGCATTTCTAAGGAACAGCTTCAAGCTTTGTTAGATTCCACTATTCATCATTCTTAGTAGACACAAGCATATACTCCAGGAATAGGAGGAAAGAGAGACTGAGAATTCTGCAGTGGTTAAAGATGTGGGTACTGATGTTTGGGCTCAAAGCTCAGCTCCACCATGCACTAGCTGGATGTAAGCAAACAATTTAGTATCTCTATGCCTCCATTTTTCCATCTATAAAAACAAACATATTAATAGTAGTAGCTACCACAAAAACTTGTCTGAGAAATAAGCGAGTTTTATAAGTCTCAAAACAAGCTCCTCACACAGTAAGTACCATTCAGTATAACAATCATTATTACGATGCCGAGATTTTTATTTTATTTATTTGGTTTTTTTTGAGACAGGGTCTCATTATGCAGTTGAGACTGACCTGGAACTCACAGTGATCCTCCTGCCTCAGCCTCCTGAGTGCTGGCATTACAGGCATGCACCACCATGCCCAGCCAAGGTTTTTATTTTTTTGAGACAAGGTCCTGCTCTGTAGCTCAGGCTGACCTTGAACTCACTAAGTAGCCCAGACTGGTCTCAAACTTTCGTTGAGTCTCTCAAGTGCTGGGACTGCAGGAGTGTGCCACTATACCAGGTGATGCTGAGATTTTTAGACTAAAAGGAGTATGATCCTGGCCCAAACCTGAGTTGCTCAGGGAGAAAGGCTAGAAATCAGTTTACATTTGGTTTCACATTCTGTGTGAAACGGTTACCAATGAATTAACAGCTGATACAGCCAAAAGTCAGATAAAAAATTACCTTGGTCATTCTCAGGCACTTGTGTCTCATTGGTACCCCATGTCCTCTCAGGGTTGTCTGAAGCAGGTTTGGGGACTGACACACTTACTGATGCTGAGTGAGCCACCGGTGGAAAAGGGCCAGGGAACTGGGGGGCAGTGGGCTGGCAGGGGTGGTGAGGCACACCTGGTGGGCAGACGCGGGAGGACAGCTGCTGCATGGCGATCATCTCAGGACTGTCCATCATGGAGTCCCCTCCATGTACCCCCCGTAGGGTGGGGGAGGGTCCTCCAAATAGAGAACTTGCTGCTGGGGTTGGAGGTGGCTGCAACCGATGTCCAGAAGACTTACAGGGTGGTCGTATATATCCTGAAGAAGGAACTCCATGAGGTAGAAAGCTTGATTGTTTAGGCCACTGGTTTGAAGGGATAGGTGGTCTCATCACTCGGGAATCCATCATGTGACCAAGGTTTCGAGGCTGGTGAGAGGGTCCTGGTCCCAGGGGGTGCTTCTCATCTGGCCCCAAGGGTCCTGGGTTGGTAACACCATGGTTCCCATTCCAGACAACACAGTGTCCTCGATTCAGGTATTTGTATGACTGGTACATGTGGCTTGGATGAGCTTCTGGGCTCTCAGCAAAGTCTGGGGGTCGAGCTGGAGCCCCACCATGTCTGGGAGGAATAAACCCTGGCTGAAATGGAGCTGGAGCATACATGTTTCCATCATGACTGGAACCACTCATCTGCCCAAGCTGCAGGGAAGCAGGGTGGGATCTCATGTTAGAAAGGTGCGTCAGTCCCCCACACATCAGCTTTTCTTCGGGAGTACCTAGCTGAGGTCCTCCGTGGCTGCCAATTCCAACTGCAGGCTGGTAACAGAAAAGACAAGAGGTCAAAGTTACTCAGACTCACACGGCAAGGCAGATCTTGTAATGTGCTTTACTGATATGGAAGATTATCTCTGAACCATCTCTGAAGGGCCTTGGCCACCTCCTCTTCTGCACTGGGTGTTTACCTGCATGGAGAGGGGCTGGTGCTGCATGGGCTCTCCTGGGTGTGCTTCTGGGACTTGAGATGAACCATACAAGTGGGTGGGATCTGATCCTTGAAGAGGACCAAATGTTCCAGGTACCGTTGGCCTCTGGAGCAAGAAGGCAGGAAAGAGAAGACAGATTGACATTAGGTGGATAAGGGTTTCTCTATAGGGAGGAAAAGGGACTTGAGGGGGGAATGGGATAAAATAAAATGAAATTTATTAAAAACCACCCTGGGCTAGGCCAGTCCCAATATTGTAGTAGTTTCCCTGGTCAGGAGAGGTAAGATTAGAAGTGTTTCTAAATCTTTTTTTATTTCATTTTATTTTTAAGCCACCTACCCCTGGCCTACAGCCCCTTTTAGTCACTGTGTCCCGAATGGCAATCTACTATCAAAACTTAATACTTCACATATATGTACAGTTTATGTAACATATGTATTTCTATGCTTTACACATGAAAAGAGCAAAGTTATTTTCTTTTCTTTTGAGTTCTTGTTATGTTGCCCAGGGAGGCTGCGAACTTCTGGGCTCATATCAAGTATACTCCTGCCTTAGCCTCCTCAGTAGCTGCAACCCCATGTGCATCTTCCCACGCCCAGACTTTATTTAATCCCAACTTTAGCCTACACTGAGAACACATGATTCAAATGATTAAGAGAAAGGAAGATCTGAAATAAGAGGAGAATGAATGAAGAAAAATAAATCACCAATGTAATAATTTTGGAAGTGCCAACTCGATAGCCCTTCCTCACTTGTGATTTCACCAGCTTGGAGATAAGCTCCTTACCATCTGGTTTAAAAGGGGGGCCTGGCTGGGCATCCCACCACAATGCAGGGGGTGGGAAAAGCCTCGGCCATTGGAGGTGCCCACATCCCGAGAGGGCTGTGCAGAACTGCTGCTCTGATCATCCCGACAGGAGGAAGCTTGGCGTGCAGGGGGCAATGATTTTCCTCCATTTTCTACTGGCTGCTGTTTCCTGCTCGGCCCGTCGGAGTCCCTAGAGCGAGTCCACACATGGCTCCCACTACTTCGCCCAGCCCTACTTCGTCTTTTCTCCCGCTTTTCATCCTCTCGGATCCAAAATTCTTCATCTGTATCCCCATCTTCGCCAGGAAAGTGTTTCATCATTGCTCGATGGAAACACCTCTCTAAATTATCAGACATCTTGGTATACTCTGTAAGAAAAACAAAAGGATTGACCTGTAGGTACAGTTTAAATACAACTGGGGTATACTCCACATTTAATCATCACTGGGATATATGACTTTGTAGAGCTGTGCTCCGAAGATGAAGACATGGTTTTTGTCCACAGAAGCATGAAGTGGAGTGACTGAGACAGTGACTCTAGGTCTACAACCTCAAGTGAGTAAAAATGTAGTTATTTAAGGCTCAAATACTAAAATTATTAACTACTACCACTGAATCTGTAAGATATTTGATTTTGGGGGGGGTACTGGGGATCAAACTCAGGACCATGCACTTTGTGAGGCAGGCGATAGCACCACTGAGCTAAATCCCCGGCCCTAAGATACTTGAGTTAATGTATAAATAGCCCCAAGTTTCAGGACCTGGGATTATTTATGGTTTGATATTAGAGAGCTGCAATGGTGACTTCTTATGATTTAAGAACAATGGGCTGGGATGTAGCTCAGTGGCAGAGCACTTGTTAGCACACCAGGGTTCAATCCCAGAGCTGTTAGAGAGGGAGGGTGGGGAGTGAGCTCATCTAGCTTCAGTCCTATCTGTGCTGAGGAGCCCTGGACAACTCAGACCCAGTCTGGTCTGTAGCATGAGAAATGGGCTATACTCACTTATCTTCCTTCCTGCTGAGTTCTCTTGTCCTGTGGCACAGGAAAGAGCTCCTGGCTAAGCGTGTGGAACGACTAATCCTACAGCTTTTAGCACACTGTTCGATAAGGTTCATTTGTCATGAAAGGCATTTTATTATGAATATACTAATGCACACATATACATCTAGTATGAATTCCTTGCACTTACCACTACTTTCCCCATTATATTTTCGACAATTCCTGAACATAGTCTTCATGTCATTTACAAATTCCTCCTTGGTACAGTATAAACCTCCATTCAACTTTTTCTCCATGCTTGAAATATCCATGGGGATCTAAAATAGGACACATAACTATTTAATTAAAATATACTAGAATATCTCCCCGCTAACCAAACATCTCATAGTTCCTAAGAAGCAATGTTATCCTGACATCACGAGATGCTCAGGAGCCAAATGCACACCCAGAAGACCTGACTCTGAGAAACGACAGATAAGCAATGTGAAACCTAAAACCCAAGCAATACACAAATGCAGATGTATGATTTCCAAGATACCTTAATAATCTGATAATAATTAGGAGCGTAAGATTCATCCACAGGTTCCAAAAAGGGCCAGGAATCCTTATGAGCCTTTACCACATCCAGAACTAAGATCCAAAGAAGAGAACTTAATTAATGAAGTCACATAGCAGTGTTGCCATCAGAAACCAAAACAGTTGAGAATGGGAACTAACCTTTATACATGGCAGTAAAATCATCATCCAACTCAAAGCTGTGAATCATAAAATAAGACATTAGTAATAACTCTGACCACTTAACTTAGCTTTTAGTTCAATTAGAGACAAACTGATTAAGATTTGGAATTGTCTTAGTATTCTGTTCAGACCAGTCAACTCTGCTAACATTCCCTGAAAAGGACACAAAGACTAGGGATAGTATACCTTAATATAAAAGGGAATATCACTGTTTTCATCTATTTGTTTTGTTTTTGGTACCAGGGATCGAATTCAGGTCCTTGCACTTGCGAGGAAGGTGCTGGAACCAGAGCTAAATCCCCAGCCCTCACTGTTCATCTATAAAACAGTGGAGCTGGTCTAAATGATCCAGAAGTTTATAATTCTATTATTTATTTAAGAGCACATTCTTATTTTTTTTTTGGTACCAGGGATCAAACTCAGGACTTTGTGTTTGCGAGGCAGGTGCGGTGCCAACTGAGCTAAATCCCTGGCCCATAAAGAGCACATTCCTTTTTTTTTTTTTTTTTTGGTACCAGGGATCAAACTAGGGTCCTTGGGCTTGCAAGGCAGGCAGCAGAACCACTGAGCCAAATCCCCAGCCCAAAGAGCACATTCTTAATCAGGTTTCATTTTAGGTTCATGAATATTTTTGTGATCTAAAGAATAATGCCAAGTATGGTGGTGCACACTTAAAATCTCACCACCCCTTGGCAGAAGATCTCAAGCTTAAAGTCAATTTGGGATTTAAAGTGAGACCCTGTCTCAAAAACAAAACCTTAGCTAAATGGATACAAATTGAGGCCATACTCTAAAGTGAAATAAATAGGTCACACATGTGTAAATACCAAATAGTTTCTCTGGTGTGAAAAACTAAAACTGCTAATAAGGTTAAAAATGTGTAACTGATAACGCAAAATAGGAAGAAAAGGTCTAAAGGAGTAGGGGAAGTGGGAGGGGTGTGGGAAAGGAAAGAAGGGAAAAGAAAAAATATGAGAAATGGGAACACATGGAAATAAAGTCTAAATAGGGAAAGATGGAAGGGGTGAAGAGAGGGCAGGGGAATGGGGAAAAAAAATAAGAACCAAGATAACTTAATGGGGAAGAAAAACCCCAACAAAAAAACCCAAAACAAAATTTACAAAAGCACGTGGCAGAATGAACTCATTAGCACAGAACATTTACTCATTTGTTTCTAAATTTTTAGTTAGCAATAAAGACACAAATGGTACCTAGTAATCTCAAAGGAAGTTACGACTGAAAGAGTAAGTTGTTCTGCACATTCTAAGAAACAACTTTATATAATCACTGAATCTGATTTCATTCAATTTAAGGCTTAGTACAGTAAGAATTTTGTACAAAAATATCACTGTGCTTCTAGAGTGTGACAGCAAGGATATGAGAGGGAAGGAAAGGGGCAAGGGTGGAAAGATGGGTCTGAGTATGGGTGTTAAAGAGCACCAGGGGTCAGGTTAGGGTTAGGGGTTCCTTACTAAGTTTTCTCAACTCTGAAACAGTGATGCCATTGCTGAGTACCAGGGTTGTTACAAAGATTAAGTGAGGAAAGTGTTTATCAGCACAGGGCCAGCTGCTCTTGTGGCTGTTGGTGCTGAATACTCACAGGTCCTTTGTCTTCTTGCCTTCCCGAGTGGGAGAGCTGGGGTCCAGGTGGGAGAGCTCTGGGGGCAGCTCCTTGCCTTGGGCCAGTAACCACGCCCGTTCTTCCCTGAGCTTTCTCCTCTTGGCACGATCTGCAGAGGGCAAGTTGTGGCTGAGCCTGTGCATTTTCTTGTCTTCCCGCTGCCCACAATGCTGTCCCTCACACAGTCACAGGGCAACCTGCTCAGTTCATTCACATGTCACCTCTTCCAAAAGAAGTCTCGAGACAATCCTATGTAAATGTCACCATTGTCAGGTCAGTCTACCCATGGGTCTGGCTTTTTCCTTTTAGGTATCACCAGTATCTAGAATTCCACAGCACTGTATCTGTTTATTCTCCATCGTCTCACCATTAGAATGGAAACTCGACTGGAAACTCCACAAAAGGACTAAGTTATCTTGTTCACCATGTTTACCTAAACAGTGCTGGCACAAAGTAAGTGCTCAAGAAATATTTGTAAAAATCAAACCTGTAACAGGCATTATCAATCTTATAGGTACAGAAACTAAGCCTGAAAATAAAGTAAATGATGGCGTACCAAATAACCCACTGTAAAATATGAAGAAATAAAAGCTAGTTATCATGGGGTGAGGGGTTTAAATCTAACATCAGAAACAAAACACATCCATGACCTTACAAATAAGATAAATCTCTCTCTCTCTCTCTCACACACACACACACACACACACACTACAAAAGATAAATTATGCAGTATGATACAAGCTACACTTGTAGCTTACAGGCACTAAGGGCTTTAGAATGAAGAAATAAGATAGGTAGGAACCGGGTTAACCTAATAAGAAAAAGTAATACTTAAGAATAGGGGGTGGGGTGGGGATGAATCTCAGCAGCATCACAGAGGCCCTGAGTTTGATTCCCAGTACCAAAAAAGAAGGAGCAGGGGAAGCACATCAGGCAATAATCTTAATTTTCTTTTTCTTTATTTTTGGTACCTGGGATCGAATTCAGGTCCTTGCGCTTGAGAGACAGGCGGCAGAACCACTGAGCCAAATAATCTTAATTTTCACAGCCAAAATTTACCTAAGTTTTACAGTGGAAAACTGTATTGAGAAAGCCAAACCACACATTATGCTGTTTTATTAAAAAATTAAGAGTTCTAGGAATCAATCCATGCATCCAGAGACATAGTCTTGCTCTGTAGCCCAGGCTAGCCTCAAATTTTTGAACTTCCTACATCAGCTACCTGAGTGCTCGGATTAAAGGTGTATGCCACCATGCCAGTCTTTGATACATTTATTTGAAAGAAAACAAAATGTGGGAGGCCAAGGCAGGAAGATTATAAGCTTAAAGCTGGGCTGGACTACACAGAAAAACCAAACAACGATATCCACAGGAGGAGGAGAGGGAGGGAAAAGAAAATAAACTTTAGTCTCTATCTAACCATGCCAAATGACTTATTATCACATAATTTATCAGGGTCAGCTCATAAATACAACTACTATCCAAGACAATATTTGTTATCCTTGGCATTGTAGAATCATAAATAAAAAAAAATCTTATTACATCAAGACCAAGAACTAGACCTATACTTGAAAAGAAGTTTTGCCCTAATTTATAGTATTTTAATATCTAACCTAAATAAAAATCTGAGGCATCTCTTACACATATCTCATTTATGATAAAGTTATTTGTATCTAGTTATGACAGTACATGCCTGTAATACTTGGGAACCTGAGGCTGGAGGATTTTGAGCTGGGAGGCCAGCCTGGGATACACAGGGAGTTCAAGTCCAGCCTGGATTATATGTTATAACCTCATCTCAAAAAGCAAAACAAGGTGCTAAGGATTTAGCTCAGTGATTCCACTGCCTGCCTCAAAAGCACAAGGACCTGAGTTTGATCCCTGGTACCGCACCCAAAAAAGCCAAATCCCAATCAACCAACCAACCATTAAAAAAAAAAGAACAAACAAACCCTGTGAAATCAGGTGTCATCACTCATTTTATTCTATTCTATGTAGGACACAACAGAGATCTAAACAATACTAAACAATAATCAAGATAATGAAAGACATACAAAGAATGACAAATACAAATGCTTAATCAAGAATAAAAGGGAATGAGACTGGATTGAGATAGGTAAGTATGACAACACAACTGACAACTAATTAAAAAGAAATAGCCAGGGGCCGGAGATTTAGCTTAGGTTCTGCTATCTGCTTGCAAGCTCAAGCTCCCCAGTTCAATCCTGGGTACAAAGAGGAGAAGAGAAGAGAAGGGAAGGGAAGGGAAGGGAAGGGAAGGGGAGGGGAGGGGAGGGGAGGGGGAGGAGAAGAGGAGAGAAGAGAAAATAGCCTTAACTCAGGCCTGGTGGTGCATACCTGTAATCCCAGCAATAGGGAGGCTGAGGCAAGAGGATTGCTGTGAGTTCAAGACCAGCCTGGGCTACACAATGAGCTCCAAGTCAGTCTCAACCACATAGTGAGACCCTGTTTCAAAAAACCAAAAAGCCAAAACAAAACAAAACAACCACGTGAAACAAAGAACGGTTCCCCACTTGTTCCAGTGGTGGCTGCAAACAGCCATTTCCAAATACGAGCATCTCTGGCCCAGGCAGAGGGTCCACATACCTTCTACTGCCTTGACTTTTTCCTCCAACTCCCGTTTCCTCTCCTCCTTGAGCATCTGTTCCTGTTCCTTCTTCTGCACAGCAAGAAGAATCTGCCGTTCTTCCTCCTCTTCCTTGCGCTTCTGTTTTTCTACCTTGGTGAGCACAGGAGTCTCCTGTGAGAACCCAATGAACAGATCAACTTAATGGACAATAATGCAAGAGTTCTTCCCTTTGAGTTAAGATCTAATTTAACTGAATTCAATACTGTTAGACAGCTAACTTAGCTGGTAGATTTACAGCATTGAAACAAGTTGATCTTATAATCTATAATCTATGTATCTATCTATCTATGGATATATAAACACACTAACATTAAAATACAATGGTCTGGTTTGTTTTGGCTGTATTAAGGATGAAGCCCAGGGTCTCTGTATGGAGTTACAATAGTCCTTTATTTTTTTATTCTGAGACAGATTGAGCTAAGTCAGTAAACTGTCCAGAACTGTCACCTTCCTGCTTCAGCCTCCCAAAGTGCTTGGACTATAAGTGTGTGCCATCACTCTTAGGTTACAATGGGTTTTAAAAACTGGGCACAAGTTTTGGCTCCACTGATTTATATAATTTACTGTGGGTAGGAGCCAATCACATGGGTAGTATAAAAAAGGAGAAACTGAGGTAGCTCAGAGAAACCATTCCTTCAGATTTATCGCTGTCTCGAAAAAGAAAAGAAAGAAAGAAAGAAAGAGAAAGGAAGGAAGGAAGAAAAAGAAAGAGAAAGAAAGGCAGGCAGGCGTGGGATGTAGTTCAGTGTGAAAGCCCTGATTTTGGTCCCTAGAATGGAAAAACAAACAAACAAACCCCAGAAAAGTTTTGAAGGCAGTAATAAAGTCCTGAAAAATTATTCAAAGATCAGTCAGCATTTCTCATTTTTCATCCTGAGTTTGATCCCCAGTACCAAAATAAAAAACATCAAAGTGTTTCATGTACATTTGCCAACTTCCCAAGATGAATGTAAGTCATTAAAAATTGTTTTTTGGAACAGGGTCTTGCTATGTAGTCCAAGCCGACCTTAAACTCACTATGTAGCTCAGGCTGACTTCAAACTCAAGGGATCCTCCTGTCTCAGCCTCTTCCTTTTTTTGTACTGGGGATACAACTCAGGATCTTGCACTTGCGAAGCACGTGGCAGAACCACTGAGCTAAATTCCCATACCCTGTCTCAGCCTCCTAAGTGCTGGGAGTACAGGCCTGTACCACCATGCCCGGCCCAAATATAATCAATTTGTAACGCAAACATGTACCAATAAAAATAAAAATTAAAAAAGGAAACTAACAAAAGGTAAATTATAGAAAAATGATCATTACCTTCATAATTTTATTATTTTTTGGGGGGGGTTGAGACAGGGTCTCACTATGTAGTTGAGACTGACCCAGAACTCACTATGTAGCCCAGGCTGATCTCAAACTCAGCAATCCTCCTGTCTCATCCTTCTGAGTGTTAGGATTAAAGGCATGCGCCACCACGCCCAGCCAACCTTCCTAATTTTATGTCAACTTTACAATATATATTCTCCAATAAAACTAGTTGTGAGTCAGCCAGGTGTGGTGGCACACATCTATAATTTCAGCACTCAGGAGGCTGACGCAGGAGGATCTCTTCAAGTTCAAGGCCATCCTGGGCTACATAACGAGACCTTGCCTCAAAACAACACCACCACCCACACCATCAAAGTAGTTCTGAACCACTCTTCAGCCCAGAATATAGAAGTTATTCCTTTTCAATTTCTCCCCACAACTTTTACGTGGATAAGTGAACTAGAATTACTTTTTCGAACACTGCCAGTGAAGAGGACATGCTTTTGCATGTCACAAAGAATATCCCTGCAAATACAGAAAAATCAATCAGGAGTTAACAGAAGCAAAACTGAGATTAACTTCAGAGATGATCCTATTTCAGGTGAAGCCTACTGGGGAATGTAACACTTTCTTTAGCAAAGAAAGAACCTATGGAGGAAAAAAACTATATAACTGTTTGCAATGAATATGAAGACATAGTCTAAATATGCAAAGATATCTTGATCAATAGAGGGCTCCTACAAAATAAACTGAATTCTGGTGCAACTCACACCACAGGGACAAAACACTTAAGTTACAAAGATGTCCAATGTGATCTGTTTTGTAATGCAAGCATTCAGAAAAGCCTGAAGTAAATATGTGAACCTAAAAATAGTAATGCTATCTAAATTAGAATCACCAGGCCTTCAACAGTCTTCTGTATGTTGTCTTCAGATTTATGAATACATAAATGCTTTGGGGCTCAGAACAACCCTTTCCCAAATAAACAGAGTTAAACTAGTAATACATGTTCTAAAATAATCTAACTTTGAAGTCGGAGATTTAGCTAAGTGGTGCTATGCCTGCCTCGCAAGCACAAAGTCTTGAGTTCAATCCCTGGTACCAAAAAATAAAAATAAAAAGTTAAATTTCACTAACATTTTATCACCCTGATGGAATACCTATTTGAAGTCTAAAATTGGGCTGGGGATTTAGCTCTGTGGCACCGTGGTGCCTGCTTCACATGTGCAAGGTCCTGAGTTCGATCTCTTGATAATGCCCTCCCCAAAAGTCTAAAATTAGAATATGTTCAATTATCTAAAGATTAGAATTTGTGAATGTTTAAGGTGAGGTACTAGAAACTGATTATGAATAGTTTATTACATTAGAATGAAGCAGAAATTTTCAAATGTAAAACTACAAATACAAATGATTCTTGGGCTGGAAATTTAGCGCAGTGATTCTGCCCCATGTTTCACAAGTACAAAGTCCTGAGTTAGAGCCCCAGTACCACCCCACCCAAAAGATTCTAAAAATAAGACTCTAGCTATTTAAAATTTGTATAATGCAGGGCCAGGGATTTAGCTCAGTGGCATCACACCTGCCTCACAAGCACAAGGTCCTGAGTTTGATTCCTGACACCAGAAAAAAAAAAAAGCATCCAATTACTCTCTCAAAATTTGTATAACAATTTATTATTTATACTCCAGATAAAAAACCTAAGGATGCACCCATCACACTGTTTACATTCTAATAAAAACATCAAGCTTGGTGTGGTGGTGCATGCCTATAGTCCTAGCACTCAGGGATGTTGAGGCAGGAGTATTGCAAGTTTAAACCCAGTTTTGGGAATTTGGCAACACCTATGACCAGGCAATATAGTTCAGTGTGAAGCTTCAGAGTTTAACCCTTGTACCACAAAACAACCAAACTCATCACACAATGTTTGTTTGTATTTGAGATAGGTTCTATTTAGCCTGGGTTGACCTTAAATTTGTGTGACCCACCTGCCTCAGCTTCTCAAGTGCTAGGATTACAGGCATGCACCACCATACATGGTCATACATGCTTTTTCTCTTTTTGGGGGGCGCGTAAGTTATCGCTGAATTTTTACTGGAGGTTGAATTATTTTGCAAAAATCTTGATTTGATACTTGTATCTTGAAGCTAATTATATGATGTGTACCTAAGTCTGCCTATAACAAGTAGAGGGCATCTGCTAGACATACCAGCCCCATCATTCAAGTGAGAATACTTTTTTTTTTTTGGTGGTGAGACAATGTTTCATTAATGTATCTCAGGTTGGCCTTGATTTCACTATGTAGGTAGGGTGGCTTCACACTTGTGATGATCTTCCTGCCTAATCCTCTCAAGTGCTGGGATTACAGATGAGTGCCATCATGCCTGGCCTGAGAAATATTTGTCCCTAAAGACGGTTCCATGTTAGTTTTTTGTCTGTTTTATTTTCAATATTACTGTAAATTGAGCCTGGGGAGTTCCTACTAATCAATATCCTCACCCTACTTTAAATTTTTAATTTTTTCCAACAGGGTCTCACTAATTCATTAAGTGTCCAGGCTGGGATCAAACTTGTGGATTCTCCTGCCTGCTTCTGCCTCAGCCTCCCAGTGCATAGCCCAGCTTGGTAATACTACCTTTGCTTAGTCTGCTGAATGCTGGTTTGGTCAAACAACCAATACTGATCTAAGTCATACTAAAATGACTTTCAAGATTATAGAGAGGTAGCTCAGTGGTTCTGCTACCTGCCTAGTAAGTACAAGGACCTGAATTCGATTCCCAGTACCCCCCCCGAAAAGATTATAGACAGGAATAAGTTTTAATTTACAAATAGATATTTGATGAGGCATTAGAAAAATAAATGTCAAGGGCCGGGGATTTAGCTCAGTGGTTTTGCTGCCTGCCTCACAAGCACAAGGTTCCAAGTTCAATCCCCGGTACAAAAATAAATCAAAACAAAACAGAAAAACATATGTCAAACTCCTTTTTATTAAAGCTATAGTTTTCCTCTGAATGAAATCCTATAATTATTATTGCTACATAAAACCCACAAAATTATACATATTATTGAGGTACCATGTAATATTTACAGGGCCAGGGATATAGCTTGGTGGCACAGAGCCTGCCTGATAAGTATGAGGTCCTAAGTTTGATCCCAGTATTTAAAAAAAACACTGCCTGCCTTGCAAGCGCAGGGACCCGAGTTCGATCCCTGGTACCAAAAAACAAAACAAAACAAAAAAAGCTGTGGATCTGGCTCAGTGTCAATGCACCTGCCTTGCAATTGCAAGGTCCTGAGTTTAATCCCCAGTGCAGGGTGGAGGGGCAAAGAGGGGAGCGAATCAGGTTATACGTATGTATCTGAAGCACTTATCACCATGGCAAAAATATTTTTAAAAATCCTATCTACTTTTTTCAGGTATGTAGTATGTAATTCTTATCTCTCCTCACCCTGTGTGCAGTAAATAACAGTGCACTAGAACTTTATTCCTAACTGCAGCTTGGTACACAATTTTTCTATCCTTCTCTGCTCACTCTCTACATTCCCCAGTGATTGCCCTTCCCTCTTTTCTCTTTTTATTTTTTTTTCCTTCCTTCTCCCTGTACTCCTTTCTTTGTCTACCATTGAGCTATATCCCCAGCCCTGTTACTTCTTAAACAAACAAACAAACAACAAAACAACCAACCAACCAAACAAACAAAAAAATACCCCTGAGACAAGGCTTTACACCAAGTTACCCAGGTAAGATTTGAACTTGCAATCTTCCGGCCTTAGCCTCCCAAAGTGCTGAGATTATAGCCATGTGCCACCATGGCTGGCTTGATTGTGGCTCTTAAATCAGAGGACAAGGCCGGGGATTTAGCCCAGTGGCGCTGCACCTGCTCTGGAAGCGCAAGGTCCTGAGTTTAATCCCTGGTACTACCAAAAAAAAAAAAAAAAAAGGAAATCAGAAGCAAGAAGCTCACTGCAAGTTTGAGGCCAACCTAGGCTACATAAAGACATCCTGTCTTAGAAAACCAAAAAAAAAAAAGTATCATTAACAAAAAATATGTAAAGCCAGGTATGGTGGTGCACACTTGTAACCCTAGCATCTGAGAGGTGAAGACAGGAGGATCGCTGTTAAGTTTGAAGCCAGTCTGAACTACACAGTGAGACTCTGTCTCAAAAAACCAAACCAAGGCTGGGGATTTAGCTCAGTGGCAGCATGCCTGCCTCTTAAGTGCAAGGTCCTGAATTAAAAACAAACCAAACCAAACCAACAAACAAACAAACAAACAAAACAAACCAACGCCCCCCCCAAGCCATCCTAATACAGAAATTTGTTTCTGTTGATACATATTAAATAGCCATTTCCCATCTCTCTCCACCAGTGTCTGGCAATCACCCATCTGCTTAATGTCTCCATGTATTTATTCTGGCTATATATAGAACTATATAATGTGTGTTTCATTACTGGTTTTTTAGCACATAAACATGTAAATGTGGGCTTGGGATTTAAATCAGTGGCACCACACCTACCTCACAAGCACAAGGTCCTGAGTTCAATTTCTGGTACCAGGGGAAAAAAAATTCCATACTTGCTCTGCAGAGCATGTTTTTTCCCCCTACCTTTAATAAATAAATGAAAGACCTTAAAAAAAAAACCCATACAAATTCTAAGCACACAGGCTGTAATAATGGAGCAAGCTGAATTACAACATCTTTAGAGAGCATAAAATTTATTTATTTAGGTACAGGAGATCAAACTTGGGACCTTATGCTTGCGAGGCAGGGGGTAGAACCACTGAGCTAAATCCCCGGCCCTTTGACCAGCAACCTTAAAGCTCCCCAAATGTCTTTTTAAGCTCAGGTGAGGAACCTGCACCTGCTTTGTCTGCCCATCCTGCCCACTTGCCCAAGGTGATATGGCCCATCACCTTGCAGTTGTGATACCTGCATCCAGCGTCCACACCATCTGTTTCTAGATCACTTTCTCTGAAACTCCCATCCACCATTGCTAGGTCAAGTGAAATTCCCTGTGGCTCAGCTGATTGTTTTCGCCTCACATTTCTCATCTCTTTCTTATCAGCATATAATTTTTAAGTTTCCCATATTATGACAATTATGTTGTACACTGAATGTAGAGACTACTTTAAGATTTCCATGTCAATACTGAGCACCACGCCACTTCGAGGTAAAGCAAGTGCAAGTGAACACACTGAAAGGACAGCATTCACTTCCTGAAGGTGCTTTTGTAATAACTACTGAAGGGCTGGTATAACCAAATGAGCAAAAATGAAACCAAAAGAGTAAAAAATATGTGTGCGTGTGTGTGTGGGGAGCCTCTCATGCTACATTACACTGCTTTTCTTTAAAAGGGACCAACTGCAAATGGGCTAAGGGTTGGTGTTTAAATACTTCGTAGCTAAGAGGCCATCTTAATGAGAAGCTAATTTAAAAAGCACTTGAAATTCTCTAAAGTATTATTAGCTAGTATCTGGTTTTATCAACACGAGGGCCCCTTCCCAAGGCAGGTGCTTGGACTTGGCACCCTCACCAGCTAGGAGAACCCTTGAGAGATCACAGCACTGCAAGCATCACCCAAGCAACAGCAAGGTCTGGAGGGTGCTGGCAAAAATATTCACAGCAGCCCCAATCTAGGTTTCAGGAAGACACAGTCGCTTCACTGATATTTTTTCCCAAGGGGGTCACAATTAAAATACTTTTTGAGGCACTAAGATTGGACTCCAAGTTACCAATGCTTGAAAGAACTGAAGATTTTCTTGTTTAGAAATAAAACCACAAAACTCACACTATTATTAAGGTTTCCTCCAGGATAACTGGTTCCACAACAGATACTCCAAAATCTCTGTAGTATTGTGGTTTCTTGTATCTCAAACTAAAGAGAAGTATTAAAAGAAAACCAAACAAACCAACAAACCCTGGCAAGAGTAAAAGAGATAGACGTTAGTGTTTGATATTAAACTTTCGTTTGCAGCCACCAAGAGCCTCTAGTGCAAACTGAATTGGACTGCCCAGGGCAGTGAACAGAAACTGTCAAGTTAATAAAGAGAATGAAAAGAACCCAACTTGGCAAGATGCACTGGAAAACCACCTGAAAATTATGGCTGGATCCCAATTACAGAGGATCATTTCCAAATCAATGATTACCACAGGAGGAAGAGGAGAGTGGGGATATGGGAAGCCAGCCACTACAGAACTGTCAACCCAAAGGGAATTTAATGTTTTCATCAATCTGGTAATAACACATCTATGAGCTGAAGAAAGAGATAACTACTAAAGCAAAATATAGTGATGCAAGCTAGGTGTGGTGGCACACACCTGTAATCCTAGCAACCTGAGGGGGGTGAGGTAGGAGGACTGCATGTTTAAGCCCAGGTTGGGCAACTTAGCGATTCCGTGTCTCAAAATAAAAAATAAAGAGTAGAGAGTTCAACTCAGTGTGAAGAGCCTGGATTCAATCCACAGAAGGGCAAACAAACAAAAAATCCTCAAAGGCTCCTAACTCACTGAAGGAAGTTATGAATTGCCAGGTTTTCCTTTTTCATTGCTTAAGGCAGTATAAGCACTAGTGAATAGTAAGATCTCTTTATGTACCATGCTGACATGACTCTTAAAGAGCCCCCAAAATACTGCAAGGCCAAAAAAATCACAAACAAACAAACAAACAAACAAAATGCTTTGTTTTATCACAGGCAGCCTGAGACATGGTCTACAAATGCAGAAAGGTCTTCTGAGGACAGAGGCAGCTTAGGGGGTACCCTAGTCCAGATCCTGCAGACTTCCTAGGATGGGGACAGAGCCTAAGCAGAACTGGCTCCCTAAACCCTAGTGCAGGCTTCTTCCTTTACTTTACTCTATTTGCCCCTGGATCACACAAAGTTTTGACAGTCAGCTGGGTTTCTTATGCCTCATTTCACTTCTACCTTTTCAATTTTAAATCTCAATGAATATGCACCAAATTTGTCCCTTTCTACAGTGTGATTGTAAAGTCACTTAATGTATAAACTACATTACAAATTAAGAATACCCTTGGCTGCATGTGGTGGCTCACGCCTATAATACCACTCGGGAAGCTGAGGCAGGAGGATCACTGTAAGTTTGAGACCAGCCTGGGCTACACAGTGAGTTCCAGGTCAGTCTCAACTACACAGTGAGACCCTGTCTCAAAAAACAAAAAACAAACAACAACAAAAAAAACAAACCCATAACTGGCTCCTAGGTGCCACCTGGAAAATACCCTTAGTACTGCTGAGTTGTTGCCTCATATAACACTGCACTTTGAACTCCCACCTGAAGTCCCCTCTCCCCTCCTGTGATAGAGTACAAATTATTATTATTTTTTTGGTACCGGGGATCAAACTCCGATCCTTGTGCTTGCAAGGCAGGCACCAGAACCACTGAGCTAGATCCCCAGCCCTAGAGTATAAATTCTTAAACACTTTCCTGTCCTCAAGATAGAATAATTCTGTCTTCTCTTATCCTTTTTGTCCTCATGTCTTAGGAGAAGCTACTTCATGACAAGGCCTTGCCACTGAGGAAGTTCATCTCACCAGAGTCAGCTATATATCCATTTTCATCCTCATTCACACATTGTCCAGGTCCATATTCTACCTCCACTTAAATACAAAACAGGGATCTGATACAAGTTCTCATTTTTTACTTTTTCCAATACCTGTTTTCACTGTCATCCTTCCCAAAAGACAAGCACCATGGTGATCAGTAACAACTTCTCGTAAGCCAAATTAAACCCCTCCTCTAACTTGTGGGTGTTGAGTACTGTGTCAAGCTAACACATCTCTGAAAAACTGCCTACTTTAAAGTTCTAGAAACAAATAAAGCAATGACAAAAAACAAAAACAGCCCTCAAAACTTACTGTCTGTCCAACCTCTTACAGCTGACCTCTGTATGCAGAGCTAGCATTCTCTGCACACCTTTCCCCCAAAGGCTAGCGCCATCTCTTCCATTCTAGACCTATTTCCCATCGCAGGAATTACACTGCTAAATCCTGCTGGAGGAATTGCTGTCACATCTGCCAGTTTTTCCTTACTAAATCACCTGCCAGAGTGGCCAGAAAGTTATCTTCCCAAAGCAAAGATCTGATGACACAATCTCCTTTCCATTTACCTACTAAAGACGGACCCCAAAATCTGATTATCACAGCATTTCCTCCCACTGTGACAAGCGATCTTCTATGACAGCCACCTCCAAATGTATTGTTCTTTGACCACGTTATGCACTCTGCAGCCTCTTTGCTTTTGTTTGTATACTTCTGTCATGAGGAATATCCCCTGCCTCAACTGCCCTACTTCTAGGATCCACCATTAAAATCCCAGTTATTTTACCAGCTCAGCTCAGACACAGCCCTGTCTGTCCAAGTTCCTTTCTCTTTGCATAACTCCACTTTTCTCCATGTTTGCAGACATCAACTTTCTACATCTACTATAGGATTTATCAATCTCATCTATCTTAAATATGGCTATGCCCACCATCCCAGGAGATTTGAAGATCAAAAGAATGTGATTTCATGATTTTTATAAGTCCTTCTCTTTATAGAAATGCATTTTCCATATAAGAATCCTCAATAAAGGTTGAGGTAAAGGAAAAGTGTAGGACTAAAATAAATACATGAAATGTAAAGGGATCCTTTTTGAATACTGAAAATGCCTTCTTTCTACTCTCACACACACTCACCTCTTGTTTGATGGATTTGACGGACAAGTGGTCAGACATCCACCTAGGTTGCAACTCTGCTTTTGAACGGTGTGGACGTTTTCCCTATAGTTAGAAGCAAGGAAAAGATAGATTAGGGTGTTCTCAGCTACTCCTACTGCTGCCGCCACCAATAGAAAAATGACCATTAAGGCACTCAGGTAATTGCTTTACCTTGATGAAGGGCCAAAAGTATCCTTTCTAAGGATGACCAGGGGAAATAACTATTCAGCTATGCAAAGTACTAAGCCAGTGTACTCTCTTATAACAAAAACACACTCAACAGATAACCACGAGTCTGCTTTGACAATATCACTGGCAAGAAACTCCCACATTTAAACTAAAGGAAAAACAAACAAACAAACAAAAAAACTCCCTTACATGATTAAGGGAAGCCATGTTTTTATCCACTTCAGCTGAAGGGAATGGCTCTGAATGAGGGCATTAGGAGCAGCTGGAGGGGAACTGACCCTTAAAAGGCAGTTCAGTGGCAGTAGTGAGAAGTGAAGGCAGCTGCCAGGGTGGACTCAAAGTGAGCCAGAGGAGTGGAGAAAAGCAGGAGTGGCTCAGAATAAGAGAGCTCACCTGAAAAGATTACAGCCCAATACAGTTTGTAGTAACTAAAGCTTGGAAATAGCCCACCCAAGTGCCCATCAACTGGAGAATGGATAAAGATGTGGTGTTTTTAAAATAAATAAAATGGGGGTGAAGGGAGGGTGGGGACGAGGGGAAAAAATGAGAACCAAGACCTGGCATGTAAAGGTACAAGATCCCAGTAATGAATGCAGCTGTACTGTCTATCTAGAATGTACCAATAAATTAAATTAAAAAAATAAAATGGAGTACTACTCAGCCTTAAAGAATGGGAAACTAGGGACATTTTTAGCTAAAAGGATGTACACTGAGACCAAATGAAATAAATAGGACACATGTTTAAATACTGAAGTTTTTTTTCCAGCATGAGAAACTGAAGGTGTAAATAAGGATTAAAATGAGTAAATGATAATGTGAAATAGGAAGATAAGGTCTAAAGGGGTAGGGAAAGGAAAAAATATTAGAAAAGGAAAAAAAATGGAAACAAAGTCTTCGTAAATGGGGGGGGTTGAAGGGAGGGTAGGAGAATGGGGATAAAATAAGAACCAGGATACATCATGTAAAAGTACAAGATCCCAATGATGAATGTAAATTACTGTATATCTAAAATGTACCAATAAAAGAATTTAAGAATTTTTTAAAAGAAGGAAAAGATGATAGCCTGAGAAAACTGATCAGGATTGAAAGAGACTGGTATAAGAGGGAAACACTTTCTAAGAACAATCCACTTCTGATCAATCATTTCAAATGGAATTTTTGGGTTATGAGCTTCGTAGCTTCACTTCATAAGTTATCACCTAAAAGGTGGTAGGCAAGGAGTTTGGGTCAGAGAGTAGCTTCTGTGGCGCAGGCTTCAAAACCCAACATTTCCTGTGTTTGGTTCTCGAACCATTTAATTAAGTCTTGAGACTTCTTGAAGGAGTAATTAGACAGTGAACCAAAGGATGTAGGAAACTCACTGACAATAAGGTTTACACAGTTTAAACTCACTGCAAAGCAATGGTGGGAGCTGTAATGACTCAGGATCTCCAAAAAGCTTTTGCTGTTCCAACGCAGACACTAAGCAGGCCCTGGTGCAAATGCAATTCCAAGTGGTGAAGTGGGTCGTGATCCTCTGCAAATACTTTTCCCCAAAGCTACCCCAGCAGTTTCTTCCATATGCTTGTGAACAGCTCCTTTATATTTTAAGACTAACAGGAGGATCTCTTAAACTTTAAACGTATAAATTTATCACAGAACTGTCTTCCAAAGGAATTAAGTTAATACCAGTTTCAGTCCAACTTTTTCACACGTGAAAGTTACTAAGAGGAACATGCTATCTTTAAGGTAAAGGATTATCTCTGTATTTAAATCTGAGGGGCTAATGTTCATTAACAGCCTTTTTTGGGGGAAACAGGGTCCCCCTTTGTAGTTCAGGCTGGTTCTGAATTCACTATGTAGCTCAGGCTGGCCTCAAACTTGTGGCGATCCTCCTGCCTTAGTGCTGGGATGACAGGCATATGCCACCACGAAGAAGCCTAATTTTTTGAGTGTGTAAATACTACTTATTGTCTACATTATCACTTTCTTGACCACTAACAACAAACATCTTTAGTAGTTTATATCCCTTTTGATTTTAAAAAGTTTTAATTTTTATGGCAAAGCAGACCTTACCCCCCAACACTTTTTTTGGAGACAGGGTCTTTACCATGAAAGGCCAGGCTGGTTGCGAACTTGCTTTGATTCTCCTGCCTCTGCCTCCCAAGTGCTAGGATCACAGGCACATACCATTGTCGGTTTGTCTTTTGATCCTCTTAAAGTTTTAATACCCTTGAAGATTTATCAAATCTCTCTTCTTGTATTTACTTTGTCAAGAAATGTAGATTTGGGCCTGGAATTTAGCTCAGTGGTTCTGCTGCCTGCCTCACAAGTGCAACGACCCGAGTTTGATATCCCTTGTACTATTGTTAAGAAACGTAGATTTACTTTTCTACCAAGAGTTCTCATCAATTATTTACCATCATAAATAATGGAAGGGAACTTAGTGTCTACTGACTGCTGCACATATGTAATGCCATGGATTTCTTTTTTAAACTTCTGTGAAATGACAGTGTTTCTTTCTGCTAATATGCAAACTGAAACCAAAATTCAGAGATTTTCAGTAACCTATCCAAGGGATAGCCAGAACAGGGCAACAACACAGCTCAAACAAATTTATTTTGAAGACAGTTTCCTGATTCCTCCACCACTGCCTGGGTTTTGTGCTTCTTTCTCATGTTACATTTTAATGCAATGGTGTCTATTTCTGAGCATCATGCTTTTTTCTACTGAACTATGTTTTACTGTTCACATGTGAATCTCAGGCTATTTTCACTGTTAGAAGAAAATCCTTCTTAGTTAATGCAGTTAAAATGGACAAAGATAAGTTAACATAGATAAAATAAGGGATTAATACAAAAGTAGACAGGGTGTGTGGTGCACATCCATAAATCCCAGCACTCAGGAGGCTGCAGGCAGGCAGAACTGCTCAAAGTTCAGGCCAACACGGGCTAATCAGTGAGTTCAAGGCCAGCCTGCACAACATAACAAGACCCTACTTAAAAAAAAAAAAAAAATCATACATCCGTACACCTCAAGCACTTTTACCTCAATACATTAAATGCACTGTCATTCACCAATAAATACAATACAGGTCCTCACTGACAGGTTTCCTGTGATTGATTCACATACCCTCTTCAAACCTTCATCAGGTCTTTTTTTTTTTTGGTACCAGGCATCGATCTTGGCACCTTGCACTTTTGAGGCATGCGGTGGAAACACTGAATTAAATCCCCAGCCCTGGTCTTTGTTTTTTAAAGTGAAAGTCAGACAGACCTTCAGCACACTTAAGTCTAAAGCAGACTCCTTAAGACTTTAACAGTTCCTTCCCATATAATCCATTAATGTTTTACTCTGATTTGATAGCCAACTTTTCAGAAGAAACTCACTTTTAGTAATTGCTTTTTCTGCTTTCCTTAGTGGTGCTGGGGACAGAGCCTCAGTCTTCACACGTGCTGGGCAAGCTACACTCCAGGTTCAATAATTTTTTTTTTTTTCGTACCAGGGGTTGAACTCTGGTCCTTGGGCTTACAAGGCAGGTGGCACCACCACTGAGCTAAATCCCCAGCCCAAGTAATTTTTTTTTTTTTTGGTACCAGGGATCGAACTTGGGTCCTTGCGCTTGCGAGGCAAGCACCAGGGTTCGCTTGGGTCCTTGCGCTTGCGAGGCAAGCCACCAAACCGCTGAGCTAAATCCCCGGCTTCAATAAAATTTTTATTACCATCAATTCCATAAATATTTAACTATAATAAATACAATGGCACAGACATGTAAGATATTACAATAACTGCTGAACGCTAAAACACAGTAGGAGAGAGTTGCGAACTCTCTACAGCTTTCAGCAAATCACTTGCGCTAGCTGGTCTACTAAATACCATCTGAGAATGCTTCTGCTATGTTGACTGACTCACGTGACCATGTGTGATAGGGCTGCATGCTTGCCAGGCAGGTACCTTGTCACTCAGCTACATTCCCAGGTGCATCCCCCCATCCCCGCTTTTAAAAAAGCAATCATCTGGAAAGGTTCCACAAAGGCAGGACACAAGACACCAGCTCAAAAAAATTCTGATGAGGGTGTGGAATGATGCAGAGGTGTGAACCTGAGATTTCAGTAAGCCAGCACATGATGCTGATGAGGTGGTTTGGTTATGGACTGCTGTCATGAACTCAATTAACAGATATTTTCATCAGAATTACATCCCGCCAGTAAAACACCCCAAAATTTTGCATCTTAAAATGCTTTTTGTTATATTAAAATGGCTAAGACTACTAAGACAATGTTATTGTACAGTCGCAGGCTTTATCTTGATGGGTTATGATGCATTATTATTAATATTATTATTTTTCCTTTGAGGCAGGGTCTCCCTATGTGGTCCAGGCTGGCCTTGAACTCACAGTGATTCTCCTACCTCAGCCTCCCAAGTGATGAGATTACAGGTGAACCACCAAGTCTCGCTTTGAGGTATTAGGCTTTTGGGAAAGTTGCTTTTACTTTTTAGTATTAACCTGACATACACATTACTGAATGACAATAATGTATTCAATTTTATCAGGAATGAGATGAAAAATACTCATGTCTAAATAAACAGGACACCTTCAAACTTTCCTCCTTTGTCTGTTTTGTTTATGATTTGGAGTCTTAAAAATCAAAACCAGGGCTTCATACAAGCTATGTCAGTGCTCTACCATTGAGTTGTACCACAAACACTTCTTTTCTGAACTATTTACAAATTACTCTTTTTTGGGGGGTTGTTGGTGGTAGTGGTAGTAACTGGGGGATTGAACTCCAAGCCTTCACACTGAAACGTATCTCCAAGCCTTTTAAAAATTGTTTTATGTTGAGACAGTGTCTTGTTAAGTCACTACACTGCCCAAGTCCCCCTGCTTCAACCTCCAGAGTGCTGGAGTAACAAGCATGTGTCATCCTGCCCAGCTGGCAAACTACTTATTCTCTGAAGGCTTAGAAAATTTCACCTTGTGAATACATCCAAATGATTCTGGTTTTGTTGTTTGTGGTGCTGTGGAACATAGACCTCAATAGTCACGTGCCCTATTCCAGCTATATTCCCAACCCAATTCTGGGGATTTTAATGGTTTCCTCTTGTTAAAGCACTTCTCTACTGTCTGATTTGCCAAGATTTTTACTTTACAATTCAGATTTCTCATCCCCCACTCCCTGGTTAACACTCTTTATTTTACTGAAGATTTTATATTGACAGCATTGTGTATCTTTCAAAATACCAAATCTATCCTTTTCTTGGTTTCTAAGGTAAGCAGCTGTCCTCAGCCCAGGCCCTTCTACCTTGGAGCTGACAACTGTGAACTGAAACCTTTACAAAGTGGGTGCCAAAATGAACCTTTCTTCAAGAAATGGGTGCTGGCCTTTGCGTCTCAATGCCGAAGAGAGTGACTAAGACCTCTGTAATCCCAGCTACATGGGAGGATAAGACACAATGATCATAAATTTGATCCTGGGCAACTTAGTAAGAACCTGTTTCAAAACAAAAACTAGTGGGGCACAGTGACACATAACTGCAATTCCAGCAACTCAGGAAGCTGAGGCAGGAGGATCCTGCCTGGGAAAACAAAAGGGAAGGGATGTAGGTCAACTGTAGAGTGCTTGAGTAGCAGTTAAAAGGCCCTGGAATCAATCCCAGTATCACATATTCAGACATACACAAAATAAAAGAGGATATAGGTTGAATGGATATATGTGTTATAGATGATTTAGTGTATTATCATTGGTCAGGTTATATAAACTGTATCTGTTATGAAACTAGAGCCAGGTGTGGTGGCATATGCTTATAATCTCAGTACTTGGGAAGCTGAGGCATGAGGATTACTATGAGTTCCAGGCCAGCCTAAAGCAAAAAGCGAGACCTTGTCTACAGCAAAACAAACAAAACTAAACTAAACAAAAACCCTCCAAAGAAAATGACTTAAATTGTCCTTGTATGTAAATGGAGTATCATATGGAATTAAGTACACTGATGGAAAAGAGCAGATTTTCTTGATCATAGATGACAATGTAAGCCCCGAACCAATGTTTTCAAATTCCTGAAAAACAGTTTACATATTTGACATTTGATATTTTCCTGTAGGTACTATAAGAATGAGTTATAACTACTTTCCAGATTTCATTGGCAAGTGGACCATTACAATGGTCTTTTATTAAAATGTGTTAATAATCAGAAATATTAGCATTACTAAATGAAATAAACTTAATGATAAGTGCTGTGGGGGTTAAAAAGAAGAGTAAGACACGGCAATTAAACTGAAGAAGCTTAAGTGTAGAACAACGTGAAGCATCAGGAGACATGTAAGGGAGAAAATATTAAGGCTGGGCAAAACAGGGACAGCTCATGGGGACAGCAAACTTTAAGTACGGTGTTTGAGAGTAGTAGTGGAAGAGTAAGGAAGAAAATGAGGGGAGACTTGAACATGTCACAGAAAAGTAAAGCACAGTTTAATGAAAAGCTGGTGCTTAGTGGGAGAAACATATCCATAAGGATAATTTCAGTTTAAAAGCAAAACAAAAAACCAAGCAAGCATTATACATAGGACTCCATGGGGTGGCAGAAGAACAGCTAGCAGGCTCAGGGCAGGTCTCCTGGGAAATGTCACAGGCAAACTGGTTCCAGGCTGTGAAAAGCCTCTGTAAACACTGGCCAGTGATGTGCAAAGAGGACTTCTCAGGGGGTGAGAAGAACATTATTATTATCATTATTCTTTTGGTACCAGCAATCAAACTCGTGTCCTTGAGCTTGGGAGGCAGGTGGCAGCACCACTGAGCAAAATCTCCAGCTATTATTATTATTTTTTTGAGACAGGGTCTCACTATGTAGTCCAAGATGGCCTTGAACTCACTGTGTAACCCAGCTGCCTCAAACTTGTGGTGATCCTCCTACCTCAGCCTTCCAAGTCCTGGGCTTATAAGCATGCATCACCTTTTAGGAGAACACTATAAAATCCACAGTGAAGGAGGGTAGCAGGAGATTCTATGTGAACACTGCAGTTTAGAGACCTGTACCTCTTCTAGGACAATGAAATGTATTTAAAAGTCCTCACCACTACTGCACTGGGGACCTAACAGTACTGTCCATGTCTGCATACCTTCTGGGCAATCATGTTGCAGATCTCAGGTAGGAAGTCCTCACTGAGTAGCTTATAGAGCTGCCTTTCTCGAAGTGATGTTCTCTCTCGAAAACTCTCAGTGACCTGTCGCCACTCTTCTTCAGTTTGGCAAAGGAGCCACCAAGTGCCTTGGCCTGGCCCTTGGGACCCTACAAAAGAAAGACACATTCACTACAGCAGATCTTACTAGAACACTTTTCTTCCCTATTTAGTCTCAATATTATCTCTACCCTGGATCATGACTAAACTAAGAGAGTCAGGGGGGAAAAAAAAAGACGTACTATCTTTTTGTTTCTAAGGCAGGCTCTTGCTATGTAGTTCTGGGTGACATCAAACTCATGAAGATCCTCCTGTCTCAGCCTCCCAATTACTGGGATTACAAGCATGTGCTACTACATCTGGCAAGATATATTACTTTTTAAAGTTTGATACTGTACGCTTTTGATTTTTCTGGTGTTATCATTGTGCACAACTGAAAGAATGCCTAGAAGCAATACAATAATTACTATGACTTTCATAAGATTTTAATATCCTGGAAATGGAAATGTTTAAATGTATTTACATCCTTTTCTAGACAAATATGTGAGTTTGAGTCTTTGAGGAAATTTATGTCTTATTTATGTCATGATACTGTAAACTGATCTCATCCCCAAACTTAAACTATTTTACTTACAGAATTAAAATCTAGGTAAGAAACTAGCATGTTATTTTAAAAATTTAATTAATTACTTAATTAGTTATTTTCTTTTTTGGTACAGGGGATTGAACTCGGGTCCCTGTACTTGCAAGGCAGGCAGCAGAATCACTGAGCTAAATCCCCAGCCCTAGTATGTTATTTTTAAAAAAGCTCCTTAAGAAGCTGCTCATTCACTCAAATATTTCAGTGTATATTTATTTCACTATGCCAAGTGACAGGAAGCTGAAAACAGACCTATTACTAATCTCCCCCTACACGCAATACTGGAGATTGAACTCAGGGTCATCATACTGAGCTACACTATAAGCCTTTTTTATTTTGAGACAGCATTTTGGTAAACTGCTAAACTGCCCAGGCTAGGCTCGAACTTTTGATCCTCCTGACTCCACCTCCCAGAGTGCTGGGATTACAGGTATGTGCCCACTTGCCTGGTGGACCTCATCCTGATCTTAAACTATCCATCTGATGGACAGATTGCCTGAGATAAGGTATAAAGAATGGTGAATGGGAGAAGAGGAAGGAGTCTATAGTTAGATAGCTATTACAGTGATCCTAGTTACTCTGTATGATTCTGGAAAAGTATGTAATATAATATAAATGAATCATGTTGTTTAATCCTTTCTAAATGCAAAAAAAGATCATTACCATTTCTTTTCTGTGGCTCTGATGCCAAGGAGCTTTCTTCCTGCTTCTCACTGAAACATAGGGAAAGAAGGAAGCAATTAAAACAAAAATAAGTCCAAAAGTGTTCTGTGCTTCCCCTAGAATGTGAACCCCAAAAATGTAACAGGGACAAGACAGTGTGCTAAGGGGCAAAGTTAGGAAGAGAAATGACTTTACGAAATAAATGAACGCCTAGATGTAGTCTTCTCACTGTGGAATAGAAACAGTGACATATGGGTACCCAGTGTATGACAATAGCATTAATGAATAGGAAAAGAGTACCTCTTAAAATCTTCTGAAAAGCAGACGGGCTACATTTTAATAGTTAAATAACAAGGAAAAACAGGAAAGGATCTCGATGCCCTGCCTCCCTGATTCAGGGATATACTTGGAGATACACTTATTTTTATTTAAGAGAGAGGCCACAAACATGGGCACTAAAGTTAGAATGCCTCTGTTCCACATCTTCCACTGACAATATGACTTCACAAATTTAATTAACTTTGCTATCAATGGTACGTTAAGTTCCTAGGGCCAGGCATGGTGGCACACGCCTGTGATTCCCAGCACTTGGGGAGACTGAGGCAGGAGGATCGCTGTGAGTTCAAGGCCAGCCTGGGCTATATAGTGAGACCCTGTCTCAAAAATAACCAAAACATTTCTTTTTCTGGTACCGGCAGGCAGCAGAACCACTGAGCTAAATCCCTAGTCCAAACACCAAAACAAACAGAAAAAGTTCCTAGCTCACAAGGATTTCAGGATTAAATTATAAAATGGAAAACAGCATTAAGTAATACTGTCTTTGTCAACTGTATCCCTGGAACAAGAAGAGAACGCTGTGAACTTGTTTTTCAACATTTAATGTAGTATACAATGTTTGATACAACTCTGAAATGCAATGTTCTTTATCAAGAGCTGTCTGATTAGGAAGCCCCAAGCCACAGATGGCTCCTGAGCATCTGCAATGTGGATACTGTACTTAATATTTTATAATTAAATGAAAACTTACATTTGAAATAAATTTCATTTAATTAAAAAATATCTCAATATTATCCCATATACCCAGCTCTAAAGGTGTAAAACCACCAGCAGAGGGTAGCACAAGTCTATTTGTGCTTGGTAAAGTTGACTTCTATACCAAGGTATACTAACTGCTGATACAAAGAAATGGAGGTAGTTTTAAAACAACTTTCTAAATTAAAAAGGACATGCGGTCCATTAACAAAATTCAAAAATAGATGTTGTCTATATAGAGCTCAAGTGATTATAGCACGTTTCTCACAAAAACACTAAGGAAGAAAGAGGCAGCTGCACACCAGTCAAATCTGTGGAAAGTTAAGTGCTGAATGTGTTAAATTAAATTCTAACTGATTTACTTCGATCTGATTTCTTAAAAATATCTCATTGCTGTTTTCCCAAACAAGAGAGTGCTTTGCCAAAATTAAATATAAAACCGAAGATAAAGAAAATATTTAAGGGCTGGGGATTTAGCTCAGTAGCTCCAATGCCTGCCTTGCAAGTGCAAGAACCAGAGATTGATCCCTGGCACCAAAAAAAAAAAGAAAAGATATTTAAGATGTTACCTTTTCATAATGATAGGAAATTGCATTCTACACAAACTTTAGCAGGTTTGGGCATGATTAGTGACAAAGTTTTCCTTTGGTAAAGAAAGAACACCTAAACTCAGATATGGCATGACATAAGAGTTCTACTAAAGTGCTGTTTAGTCAACACTTTACCACATAAATGCACAGTGATCAGTGAATGCATAGTAATTTATTTTTGGAACACCCATAACAACAGAACATAATGAAATATTTTCAAATATTTGTTCCTTGGAAACTTCTAGGTAACATATATGAATTTCATGCAGATATTCAGAAACTTTGAGTCTTTGGCATAAACAGATTAACTTGTTCTAACTTCCTATAAAAATATGTAAGGTCTAACAAATTTTAAAATGTGAAATATAACAAATGTGTATTGAACATCTACTATTGGTCAAACATGATTTTCATTTTGTTATAATGCTGACCATTGTCTTGTTCACTTTAATGCTCATTAACCATGTAACAATCACCAATAAAGAGAGTAGTTTAGGAATGGTAGGTAACTTGTTAAGACATCTTACCTATGATGCGTCCTAGCTCCTTAAGGCACATAAGACAAATTCACAATGACTCTTGACTCATGTACCCACCACCTTAAGAAACACAAACACCCTTCCCATGTCACAAAGGAAGAATCACAAAAGGAACAGTGAAATTATGGTCCCTTTCAGCATAATGATTTGAGACCTAACATTACCAAGGTTTTGTTACCTTGCTACAACCTCCTCCTGTAGTTTCTTCCGTTTTGGGGGTCTTCCTCTTCTTTTTCCTGTTTTTCCAGGGACACCGGAGACATTTTTTTGTCCTTCACTTTCCCTAAGAAATAATATTATTAAAATGAAATAATCTTACAAAGGACTGATGAGTTATGTAGGACTTTTTTCCTTTTTTGCGGGGGGGGTCCAAACTCAGGACCTTGCACTTGCCAGGTAGGTGCTGTGCTGCTGAGCTACATCCCTGGTCCAATGTATGACTTTTATATTAGTAATTATATTGTTTCTGGCCATGAAGTTACCAAAAAAGATTAAACATAGGAGGCATATAAAAAGAGCAGGGTAATGTATAAACAAGGATTGCAATGTACCAACAAGGAAAACTGACATTTTATAATATTAAAATGTGAGTAGAAAAAACAAGTAAGTTCTAACATGCAAATAGTAAGCACAGCTCCTAGCATTAAGGAAGTATAAAAAACCAAGTAAGCATCACTTTATGATGTCTGCTTAGGACAAAGAGGACTCTTTCTCACTTAGGAAAAAGAACTTCTTAAGGATTTCCCATGAAAGATGAAAACTGTTCTATAGTCAAATGACTGTGCTACTGGAAAGGTATATAAAATCATCTGTGGTACACCTCACGAATCTCTAACATTTCATAAAAAAAAAAAAAAAGACTAGTATCTTTCACCATGGTCTTGTGGCAAAGGCTACACAGAATAATTCTTTTTTATTTTTACTGTAACTCCTTGCTGTTATTTTGCAGGCACGCTAGCAGTTAATTCCTTCAGTAAGAAAAACATATACTGATGGGCCAGGGATTTAGCTCAGTGGTTCTGCCGCCTGCCTTGCAAATGCAAAGTCCCAAGTTCGATCCCAAGAAAGAAAAGAAAGAAAGGAAGAAAGTCAGTTTAAAAAATATATTTTGTGCTGTAGGATTCTAATGGATTTAATTTTAATGATATTTTACATAGTAATGATTACTTCTGATACTACCTGCTCAAGGAGAGTTCTCCATTGGACTTTCCTTGTACAGGGTCCTCTTTGTACATTCGAGTTCCATAGAAATACCAGTAGAGGGCTCCGGAATTGTCTTCACCCAGAGGTTCCACACGGAGACTATCTGCATCCAGACCCTGGGTATAGCAGGAAAAGGGGGATTGGAAAATGAAGAACAAAATATGAAAAAAGTAGAATAAATTTAAAATTTACCCTAAGACACACTTAATTTGGGAAGGGGGAGTAACAGGGATCAAACTCAGGACCTTGTGCTTGAGAGGCAGGAATGGTACCCTTGAGCTAAATCCCCGGCCCCACACCTAATATTTTAACCACTTAACAGTTTACCTCGGACGTTACTCAGGCAGTGCATTTATGTATTTTACTATTCTGAGTGCTGCTTGGGCAGGTGTCATTTCAACCAATATTTCCTATTATATAGACACCTCAGTTTGCAAACTTCTTTCCATGATTTTGGTTACAAAAAGTTGAACACAGGGCCGGGGACTTAGCTCAGTCGTTCTGGCACCTGCCCCCAAGTTGGACAAGAACCAAATCAAATCCAATGGTTAGGTTCAATGTTGACCTTAAGGAGAAATTTGATTAGGTTCTCACCCAATTTGGATTGCGAACAGAATTGTGGAATGAATTAAGTTCATGAACCAAGGTGCTACTGTATATCTTATAAAAATTAACAACAACAAAAGCAATTTTTGGTCATCTTGTATGTAAATAATTGGACTGGTAAGTGGTTAAAATACCCCAGTATGTAATTTTTGATTAGGGCATATGAAAAACAATGGGAAGGACTACTTTCTTTGAAAAACAGAATATGGAGATATTTCAAATGTTTCCTACTCCACTACTGTTTCCATTGGACCAAAAAGAAACCAAAAGGAATTCTGATGTACATTTTACGTATTTGGTTCAGAGCTATTTTATATGTGTACACATGAGAGGACAATTACAACCAAGTAGAATCAGATACTGGGAAGACTTTATTTATGTTGTGTGGTCCTCTATTTTGCTTTATCATAACTCACAGCAACCTTTTATTCCAGTAATTGAATAGATCCAATCCCCCCAGGCCTGACCTGTTTTGGCCTTGCCACTGGACTAAAGTCTTTTAGCAAAAACTATACTGAATTACACAATGATTTTTTTACAATGCATCATATGCAGAGCTGGACTTAGAAGTCCTAACACACTGAACCATTTATGATTGAAAAGGATTAGAATCTGACCTTCCTGTTCATGAAAACCTAAACACATACCCCTCCTGCAATATGCTTCTAAAACAGGTAACAGAATGAGAGGGAGGAAAGAGATTTCTGTATCTTTGATAAACATTTTGTTATATATATTATGACTTAACTTTACTAGTATATATGTTTCAATTTATTTTGCATTCTGTTTTAAAAATATTTTTTGTACCAGGGATTGAACTTGGGACCCTGCTCTTGCAAAGCAGACGGTGGAACCCCTGAGCTAAATCCCTGGCCCTAAAATTTTTGTATTTGACATAGAAATGCTCCATACTTTTTTTTTTGTTGTTGTTATCAGGGATCAAAATGGGTTTCAAATCTGTGTAGTTTTCAACAAATATTTTAGTTATGCTCAATCAAATTTACACGTTGGGAGATACAATTCAGTGGCTAATTAAGTTGCAGTTTTATGTGATGACAGGAGAATAACTAGGTATCTCTGCTTGTTCCTGTCTGCTGGGACTGAGGAAGGATCCATAAAACCAGCTAGAAATTAAACTGAAATAACACAGTCTTGTCTGTGTTTTGAGACAGGGTCTTGCCATGTAGTCTAGGATGGCCTTGAACTCACTATGTAGCCTAGGCTGGCCTTAAACACTTGGCAATCCTCTTACCTCAGCTTCCCAAGTGCTGAGATTACAGGCATTCATGGCCAAGCCCAGCATTCCATGTCTTGTATTCATTTGGCTCTCTGGTCATGGTTGTATGCAGTGTCAGTATCACTTAAAAACCCAAAGACCACCCACACAAGCCAAACGCTGGCCTTTCTCAAATTCTTTGGATTTCCCATTCTGACCATATCCCTGATGGCTGGCTTCAGACTGCTCTACAGAAAGGGCCACAGTGAAACACCTTGAGAAGGTCGAAGACATCATCTGCATCCAGCCGGTAGTCACAGAGGCGGTGCAGGATCTCCACCCGGGTGCGCAGGGGCAGGTCCTGGAAACTGGCTTCTCTCAGAGGGTTGGGCTTCCCTTCCTCCAACTCCCAGCGGTAGTTGATGATGTCTTCCAGATAGCTGTGGAACGTCTGAGGCCTAGTCCAAGTTCCAAACACAAAAGCTCATGAATATGAAACAAAAATGGTCTGACAGCTAACGAACTTATGAAACACAGAGATAAGAGGATCTCCAAGCCCTTCAATGAAACTTTGTGTGTTAAATTATTTCTGCGGACAATCTATTTTGTCAAATTCCAAAGAAGATAAATATATTAAAGTTTTTGCAGGATGGGCTGCTTTAAATACAACATGCCTTGGTCAAACAGGTGAAAGCTTCAATAATCCAGTGGCATAAATTATGAATTGGGACAAGAGTCTCACCTTTCACTCATATAATTAAAAAGGCTGCAGTTCATATAGACACCCAGTTCAAAACTGAGTCCACGGCTTCGATAGCATACACAAAAAAATCACAGTCTACTTAAATTTATTTATATTTTACATTAAGATGCAAAGGTAGAACACTCCAGAACAGAAGCAGCTACTCTAATGTACAACAACACTGAAATCAAAATGAGGTCTTACCATGTTGACCAGGTTGTTCTCAAACTCCTGGGCTCAAGCGATGTTGCCACCTCAACCTCTTGAGTAGCTCTAACTACAGGTGTGTGCCTCCATGCTTAAATATGTATAATTTGAAAACAGGTTTCTCTACAGAAAATATTTAAGATACCATGATGGCAACTTACATTTTTTGTCAGTAGACTCTGGCAATCTTATAACTGAATTTTGACCAAATTAACTTAAAATCTATGGCATTGTGGTGCATGCCTATAATTCAGCACTTAGGGAGAAGGATCACCACGAGTTTGAGGACAGCCTGGGCTACATAGTGAGGCCCTGTCTCGAATGAATGAATGAATAAATGAATGAATGGGTGAATGAACGAAGTAATATATACAAGTTTTTAAATGTTCATGGAAAAAATTAAGGATATTTCGGCAAATAATTAAGACATTTTGCTTTTATAAAGAGAGAAGCAACTTCTTTCCACTACAAGAACTATCACGTCACAATGGAAAACGGTGAGTATACTATCTAGTAAGAGGTAGCATTAATAATTCCAAACATCAAGGTGCTGTCCAATTTGGCTTGACAGCAACATGCACATCCAAACCATGAGCAAAGGGTTCAGACTGGCTATGGTAAAAAGCCAGGCAGTGTGGTTGTGTCCAACTTGGAAATCAAGAAGGTTGTTTTTTTTGTTTTTGTTACTGGGGATTGAATTCAGGACCTTGTGCTTGTGAGTCAGGGGCAGTGCCACTGAGCTAAATCCCCCGCCCCAGAAGATTGTTTTTTTAAAAATCATCTTTGAGCTGCTAAGAGTGTGAAGAAAACAGGATCCCCTTGGTAATGAATCTCTATATTCCATGTGCTTTCAAGAAGTTATAGCTCAATGGTATGTGAGAAGCTCTGAATTGCATACCCAGCACTGCCAAAAACAAACAAACAAACAAAAAACAAACCCAGACAAAATATAAGTATCTATCAGGTTTCCCAATGGGCTAGTTTTTCCTGAAGAAAAATATAATATTGACTCTGTGACATGGGGATCACATCACCAGAATAGCAGCTTCCCTCAAGGCTGCTGTGGAAGGCAGGCTGGGCCAGGTTGGGGACCTCTCTCTGGCTCTAGTGAGTAGGGCAGCAAGCACAAGCATGCTAGCTGGGCAAACCGTGTGGACAGTGCTGTTCTCTGTGCCTACAACCTCTGTGGAAGCCCCTACTTAACTCAAAGAATTCTGCATTTGACATTCTTTTCCAACAGCACTATTATCCAGTTTTAATCATATTGTTTTTGCAGTGTCCCAATACCACCTTAAATTAAATGTACTCGAGGGCTTACCATGCAACACAAATTTAGTTCTTTGTACATATGATAAACTTTTCATATCAATTTATACCTGTTTTTGTGTGTTTTTCACTAGGTCATCAGGATGGGCTTGCTTGGCCTTGTGATCCTCCTGCCTCAGACTGTGAGAGTGCTGTTATTTTAGGCGTATGCACACATCCCACCTAGCTACACCTTTTCCAAACATCAAAAAATGAAGCATGGGAAAACTTGGTTATTTTGGTGGTGGTGGGGTGTTGAGATAGTGTCTTGCTATGTAGTTCAGGGTGGCATCCGAGTACTATGTAGCCCAAGGCATGCCTTGAACTCACAGGAATCTTGTCTCAGCCTCCCAAATGGTGGGATTACAGATGTGCACCATGAAGGGAAAACTTTTGAAAGGAAATGTACTTATTTCAAATGAAAAGACTTTAGGGAGCTAAAAGTCAGGTTATAATCCTTTCTACTCAGTGGTTCTGAACTGCACTGCATTAGCTTCTCAATGCTGGAAAAACAGTTACAGAGTCTGCATTATCTGGCACATTCACCGACTTACTCATCCACTCAGCTCAGTATAAGTCTCTCTTGATGCCTTCAATATCTCATACTTATGTGAGGTAAGAATTATCCTGAGCCAGCATGGTAGCACAAGCCTGTAATCCCACCACTCAGGAGGCTGAGGCAAGAGGAGGCCACAAATTTAAGGCCAGGCTGGGCTACTTAGTGAGTTCAAGGTCAGTCTTAACTACATACACAAAGTGAGACTGTCTAAAAAACATGAATTATAATGAAATATTTCATTTGAATATGGTAAAAAGATCAAATCTATAAGTTCTGAGCAGAGAAAAATCTACTTTCCCTGTTGTATGATAAAAATTCTAAATGTTTTTAAGTCACCCATTTTTTTTTTTTTCTCTCTCTCTCTCTTTTTTGGTATGGGGGATCTAACTCAGGACCTTGTGCTTGCAAGGCAGTAGGGGGAACCACTGAGCTAAATCCCTGGTCCTCTCATTTGTTTTTTTTATCCTTCAAAATAGCAGGAAAGGCCATTGGCTGTTACACAGCATCACGTAAGGAAAGAGATGAGACCAGTTCCTAATTACCACTCTGTTCTTTATAACAGACAGATCAAGGTAGAGATAATAAAAGTAGGGATGAGTGAACCATCTTCCCAACTCCCATCCAGAGTTAGCCATCTCTTAGAATCCCAGCAGAGTGCTCCTCAGCCAGAATTGGGTGTCCACTGGCAAGCCCAAGGATGGCACGACCCAAGTGCTATGTTTTAACTCGCATTTCTGTTGGCTGGAACTGGAAAAAAGTGTAACTAGGAAGGGCAACAGCTTTTCATATCTGCAACCTGTTTTGGAAGATTACAGAGAGAGAGAAAGACAGAGTTCTTGGAGGTGTGTATTAGAGACATGAAAGGACACCCACAGAAGTCCTCTTACAAGAAGTCCTCTTACAAAGGAGCAATGAAGGTACAACATCACGCTTAGTGCAGAATGGAGGCTGTATTAAAAATGAAATTATATATATTTTTCTATAATCATTTGTAAAGCAAATAAAACACATTACACCCAGTTACACCATATCAAACATGAGTACTAGATTGAGACAAAGATTTTGGTTCTAATAAAATGAGAAATACAAAGACTAAGAAACTTGATGGGCGAGAGGCATAGTTCTGTGATAAAGTGGATGCCTATCATGCATGAGATACACAGCATCACACATGAACAAATGATACAGCATTTATTTTTGAAGATTTAAAAGACCAAGGCCAAGAAGTTAAAACAACAGCTCTTCACTAGCACTCTGTAGTAGCCACCATATCCATATAACCAAAAATCAACAGGAAAGCGAAGATACATTCAAACCCATGGCTACTTCAAACTATAGGAATATATATTCAAAGTCAACAGAAAAATCTATTTTAGCAGAGAAACATAGATTTTACATGTGTTTAAATTGGGTAACAAAGAAAAATGAGCATGTCTTTAAAATGATAAAGGCCTTTTTTTTTGTACTGGAGATCAAACTCGTGTCCTTGCACTTGCAAGGCAGGTGGCAGAACCACTGAGAGCTAAATCCCCGGCCCAATAAAGGCAATTTTTACTGGAATCCAGATGGGACCCTACATACTATTTTTGTAAAGTGGGGTGTCTAAAGTACAATCAGGCTTAAGTTCTGAAGAGGAACACTAGCAATTCTCAACAGCTTTTGATATTTTAAGGGTGCATACCAGCTTTCTGAGCACCAATACACATTCACGAACATTAACAAAAAACCGATAGAAGAAAAAAAGTGGTATACTTAGAATCATTTAGCCTGAAAGAAAGCATTAAAGGATAAACAGGAAAAGGCATCATAAGGAAGCACATGGAAAGATACTCAATAGTCATTTGGGAAATGTAAATGAAAACCACAGCCTGATGCTATTTCATACTCTTAGGATGATGACTATCAAAAAGACAAATGCTAAACAGAATGTGAAGAAACTGGAACCCTCACATATTGCTGGTGTGCATGAAAAACAATACAGCTACCCAAGAAATTTTGGCAAACTGCTCAAAAATTTAAATTCACCATCCGATCCATCCATTCCACTAGTAGGTTCCACTGGTAGGTTTATACCCAAGAGAAATGTGAACATACATACACTCACACAAAAAACTTGCACACAAATATTCAAAGCAGCATAATTCACAACAGCCAAAAAACCAGAAACTGCAAATGTTCCTGAATTGATGAATGAAACGCATATCCATACAATAGAGTATTATCTGACCTTTAAAAGGAATGAAGCAATGATTCATGCTACAACACTGAAGGGACTTGAAATTATGATAAGCAAAAGAAACCAGATACACAAAATATATGTAATATATAGTATGACTCCATGTGTAAGAAATACTCAGAACAGTCAAATAGAGATAGCAAGGAGAATAGCCATATCGGGGATTGGAGGTTAGGGTAAACGGAGTGACTGCTAATGTGTATGATAAAAAGTTCTGTAATTTAGTGGTCAAAGTGGTACAATTTGATGAATATGCCCAAACCCAGTGGACTTTACACTCAAACCCAAAACAAGCGGAAAATGACTATAGCAAAAACCATAAACAAAAATGGAAAGACAGAAGCCAACTGTTAGGCAATCTACATAAAAATAAAATGATTAAAAGGATAGAAAACTACATCCCAGGCAG